GGAGGATCAAAGTTTTACATAGAAATATATAGGTAAAATCTTTAAAAATCTTCTTCTCAAGAACAGCAAAGCCTTGTTTAGTCATATTTATATGGTAGCATCCTCAGGCAGTGAAGATTCAAATTTGTTCAAATCATGACACCTGGGCTTAGGATTGGGCCACAATGGAGGATCAAAGTTTTACATAGGAATATATAGGAAAAAACTGTAAAAATCTACTTCTCAAGATCAGCAAAGCCTTGTTAGTCATATTGATATGGAATCATCCTTAGGCAGTGTAGATTCAAGTTTGTTCAAATCATGACCCCTGTGGGTAGGGTGGGGCCACAATTTGGGGATCAAAGTTTTACATAGGAATATATAGGAAAAAACTTTAAAAATCTTCTTCTCAAGAACAGCAAGGCCATGATTAGTCATATTGATATGGAAGCATCCTCAGGTAGTGTAGATTCAAGTTTGTTCAATTCATGAACCCTGGAGATAATTCGGGGCCACAATGGGGGATCAAAATTTTACATAGGAATATATAGGAAAAAACTTTAAAAATCTTCTCAAGAGCAGCAAAGCCCTGTTTAGTCATATTGATATGGAAGCATTCTTTGGTATTGTAGATTCAAGTTTGTTCAAATCATGACCCCTGGGTGAAGGGTGGTGCCACAATAGACACTCAGAGTTTTACATAGAAATATATAGGAAAAAAAACTTTAAAAATCTTTTTCTCAAGAACAGCAAAGCCATGTTTAGTCATATTGATATGGAAGCATCCTCAGGTAGTGTAGATTTAAATTTGTTCAAATGATGACCCCCGGAGGTAGGGAGGGGCGACAATGGGGTATCAAATTTTTACAAAGGAATATATAGGAAAAAATATTTAAAAATCTTCTTCTCAAGAACAGCAGAGTCATTTGTTATATTGATATGGAAGCATCCACAGGTAGTTTAAAATTCAATCCCCCCCCCCCCCCCCCATGTAAACTTTTCAATACTGAACTGATTTGTGCATTTTCCTAGCCAATGTGCTCAGGTGAGCGATGTGGCCCATGGGCCTCTTGTTTAATTTCTTCTTGAGAACCACTAGGTCATTTACAACCAAAGTTTGCACAAAGTATCCTTGGGTAAAGGGGAATACTAAATTGTTCAAATGAATATTCATTCCCCCTTTTAGGGTTGATAATCAAGAAAATGTATAGGGTGGGGTCATTAAAAAATCTTTTTCCCAAGAACCACTAGGCCAGAAAAGTTGAAACTTAATGTGAAAGCTTTCTGAAGTATTGTAGATTCTAAATTGTTCACATCATTACCCCTAGGGATAGTTGGGGCCACAATAGGGAAACAAAGTTTTACCTTGGAATATATGGGGAAAAATATTCTCAAGAATCACTGGACGACCAGAGAAGAAGAGACTAATATGTAAGCTTCATAACATTTTAAATTGTTTAAATCATGGTCCCCAGGGTATAGAATGGGGCCACAATAGAGGCTCAAAGTTTTACATTGAAATATTTCTAAAAAATCTTTTTCTCAAAAATTAGACCAGAAAAGATGAAATTTTTGTGAAAGCTTCCTGACACAATGTAGATTCTAAATTGTTCAAATTAGTTACTCAAGTGAGCATTGTGATCCATGGACTTTTTGTTTGGAAAAAGATGTTGTATATTATTAACTTTTTTTTTGGTTGCTGTTATGTAGATTTCAAACTTCATAACAAACAAGGAGTTGTTGGCAACAGATGTGGACACTCCCCCAAACAGAGTTATGTACCATGTGACACATCATCCTCGTTATGGTCAGCTGGAAAGGACTGACACTCCTGGCAGACCAGTATCTATCTTCTCACAAGGTGCTTGATTTTACATTTGCTTCCACTTTTATTTATGATATTGAATAAAGACTTGAGCACAAGGTGATTTCTTATCAAAGGAAATCGGGAATGGTTTCAAAAGTCTTTGGAATATCAAAGTATTTAAAATTAAGTTTTATAAATGATTTAAAAATGAACTTGTATATATCTATGATAATATTGTATTTTTTGATTTACAGTGGATTTAAACAACCAGAAGATCCGTTATGTGTTGACGGGGGACATCTCGGTGGCTCAGGATTACTTTATCTTTGACCTGATGGACAGTAAGCCTAATACAGTGGCCGGTAACAAGTTCTACATCACCTGGTCATTTGTAGAGCTTGACCACTTCCTTGTAAATGTTACAGAAACCGCCGGCATCGTCCAAGTCCCAGTCAACAGGAAAGGCAATCTGAAACAGGTATCAATGCTTATAGTTCAGTACAAAAAGGAAGCATTTGTTAAAAAAAGGAAAGATTGAATTACTCATATGGATTAGCTAATTTTCAAAAAAAAATGAAAAACAAAAAAATGTATTTTTCAGTACTGTGTGGTGTCATGTAGAACTATTCCTATAACAGCCACCTCTCAGACTGTGTCGTCCAGGCCTGGGACTCAGGACTTTGTAGAAAAAACAGGACAGGTAAAGCTTAGTTAAGATCATGTCAGTAACATTTCCCCTAAAATGACTAATTTGTTTTGTTTCTATTAAAATTCAAACAATTTATGAAATATTGGAAATGAATTTCATTATGCTCACCTCTTTGACAGATCCAGTTTGAAGAGATGCAGGATTCTAAGATGTGTAATATCATTATCAATGATGACTCACTATATGAGGGAACAGAGAAGTTTTATGTTGAGGTCTATCAACCTATCTACACTCTCTTAGGCAGGAAAAACAGAGCCACAGTGTCTATAATGGACCCTGAAGATGGTTTGTAATGAGCATTTCTGAAAATTAAGTGTAAACAGATTATGGGAAAAGTGTTAATCCTATCAACCCAGTCTGTAATATTCAGGAATAAATGACTATAGATTATGAACATCTGAGACATTTTCCTTCAAATAGTGTTGTTGCTCACTGAATTTACTTAGGCCATTTTTTTATATCCTGTTTTACGGGAGCGCCGACCCTAATTTGGGCTAAAATGAAATAAAAATAAAAGTCCCTAATTCGAGTTTTATTTTTTTTTCTCCCGCCAATAGTTTATTTATAGTCACTGAAAAAATAAAAGAAATATAAATAAACTTTTCACAAGCCTTTCAAAATGCAATTTGTCATTGGCTGAGGTAAATATATTCATCCAATCACAGTATTTGAAGCGTGAATAGTCACTGCACAGCATAGTGCCAAAATGTCAGAATCGGAGGGTTTCATATATTTTTAAATAGTCATTTTAAAAAGTGACGTGTCAATGTCTCATATTAGAAAAAGTATAAATTTTAGATTAACTCTTAATGAAAGATTGAATGAAATAGACGAAACAGTAATCTTGATCAAATGTCATGCAGAGGGTCATGTGGAAATCGAAGTTCTGTCAACCGCTTGTTTTTGAAAGGTTTTGAGTACGTATTATCTTTGGCAATTGCTTCCATACATTAAAATACGTCTTGAAGATTTTTTTAAACTTAATTTTAAGACAATAATGTTTTCTTTTACAATTAACGACAGAACAGAACACTATAGAACTGGTAGAAAGTGGCGTGACTGAGGAAATTCGAGTCATAACTTTCACTCGTTAGCTCACCTGAGCCGAAGGCTCAAGTGAGCTTTTCTGATCACATTTTGTCTGTAGTCCGTCTGTCCGTCTGTAAACTTTTCACATTTTCGACTTCTTCTCAAGAACCACTGGGCCAATTTCAATCAAACTTGCCACAAAGTATCCTTGGGTAAAGGGGATTCAAGTTTGTTCAAATGAAGGGCCACGCCTTCTTCCAAGGGGAGATAATTAAGAATTCGTGAAAAATTAATGGCATCATTAAAAAATCTTCTTCTCAAGAACCACTGTGCTTGAAAACATGAAACTTATGTGGAAGCATCCTCAGGTAGTGTAGATTCAAGTTTGTTCAAATCATGACCCCCGTGGGTAGGGTGGGGCCGCAATGGGCGATCAAAGTTTTACATAGGAAATATACAGGAAAAATCTTTAAAAATCTTCTTCTCAAGAACAGCAAAACCATAATTGGTCATATTTATATGGTAGCATCCTCAGATAGTGTAGATTCAAGTTTGTTCAAATCATGACCCCCGGGGGTCGGGTGGGGCCACAATGGGCGATCAAAGTTTTATATAGGAATATATAGGAAAAATCTTCAAAAATCTTCTTCTCAAGAACAGCAAAGCCATGATTGGTCATATTTACTTGGAAGCATCCTCAGGTAGTGTAGATTCAAGTTTGTTCAAATCAAGACCCCCGGGGGTAGGGTGGGGCCACAATGGGCGATCAAAGTTTTATATAGGAATATATAGGAAAAATCTTTAAAAATCTTCTTCTCAAGAACAGCAAAGCCATAATTGGTCATATTGACTTGGAAGCATCCTCAGGTAGTGTAGATTCAAGTTTGTTCAAATCATGACCCCCGGGGGTCGGGTGGGGCCACAATGGGCGATCAAAGTTTTGCATAGGAATATATAGGAAAAATCTTTAAAAATCCTCTTCTCAAGAACAACAAAGCCATCATTGGTCATATTTATATGGTAGCATCCTCAGGTAGTGTAGATTCAAGTTTGTTCAACTCATGACCCCACGGGGGTCGGGTGGGGCCACAATGGGCGATCAAAGTTTTACATAGGAACACATAGTAAAAATCTTCTTCTCAAGAACAGCAAAGCCATGATCGGTCCTATTTATATGGTAGCATCCTCAGGTAGTGTAGATTCAAGTTTGTTCAACTCATGACCCCCGGGGGTCGGGTGGGACCACAATGGGCGATCAAAGTTTTAAATAGGAATATATAGGAAAAATCTTTAAAAATCTTCTTCTCAAGAACAGCAAAGCCATGATTGGTCATATTTACATGGAAGTATCCTCAGATAGTGTAGATTCAAATTTATTCAACTCATGACCCGCGGGGGTCGGGTGGGGCCACAATGGGCGATCAAAGTTTTACATAGGAACACATAGTAAAAATCTTCTTCTCAAGAACAGCAAAGCCATGATTGGTCCTATTTATATGGTAGCATCCTCAGATAGTGTACATTCAAATTTGTTCAAATCATGACCCGCGGGGGTCGGGTGGGGCCACAATGGGCGATCAAAGTTTTATATAGGAACACATAGTAAAAATTCTAAAAAAAACAATTTGTTAAGAATAGCAAAGCCATGATTGGTCATATTTATATGGTAGCATCCTCAGATAGTGTACATACAAATTTGTTCGAATCATGACCCCCGGGGGTCGGGTGGGGCCACAATGGGCAATCAAAGTTTTACATTGGAACACATAGTAAAAATCTTTAAAAAAAACAATTTGTTAAGAATAGCAAAGCCATGATTGGTCATATTTATATGGAAGCATTCTTAGATAGTGTACATTCAAGTTTGTTCAAACATGACCCCTGGGGGTCGGGTGGGGCCACAATGGGTGATCAAAGTTTTACATAGGAATACAGAGGTTAAATCTTTAAAAATCTTCTACTCAAGAACACCAAAGCCATGATTGGTCATATTTAAATGGAAGCATCCTCAGATAATGTAGATTCAAATTTGTTCAATTCATGACACCCCCCCCCCCCCCCCTCACACTTTTATATTTAAACTTTTCAACCTTTCAAGATTGAAGTGATTTCTGCTTTTTCCTAGTCATAGTGCTCAGGTGAGCGATGTGGCCCCTGGGCCTCTTGTTTTATGACAAATATTGGAATTCAAAATTACCTACGAAAATATATGCTTGATTGATACAAGACATTATTTCCCTTTTTTATTGTTTTATGGAATATTTAATATCAGCTGATATAGTGTATATCAGCTGTATACGTATGTATCTCTTGTTTAGTAAAACAACTTTTTTTACCACTAGGGAAAAGTATTGTTGTAAATGATATGCCCTTACAAATATTATTTAAATTCAAGTCCTGTTTTTTTTCATTCAAAAGTTGTGGATTAGAACCAGTTTCAGCAATTAAATTTTTGAATTCTGCAGTAAATAGAATATTGTCATGAATATTTTACATGTGTATACTATGGGAAAGATGTGTATTTTCTACAATTATGTTGAAAGTAAGCATGCTCAGAAAGAAAAATATAAGGAAAAAAAGAGATCAAATATACTACAGTTGAGGAAGTTTGAATATGTTTTCAACAGAGATATTGCAGTACGTTTTTTCCACATATATTAATTAGGGCCCCGCAAGGATTTGCGGGTGCCCTATAGTAATCACTCTGTCTGTCTGTCCATCTGTCCATCCGTCTGTCATTCTTCGTCCACAAATTTTCTGTTTTTTTTCTAATAACTTTTTTTAGGGTTGACCAATTAAGTTCAAATTTGGTATGTTGGTTGAATAGGCAGTAAGACATATTTTGATGCTAAGTTTGGTTCTCTATGTCATCCGGTTTGGATCTAGGGTGGTGGGGTGTATTCCTTAACTTTATATAAGAGTGAATGGGCAAAGAGAGATAACTGCTGAAAATGTTCCTATTGTAAACTATGAAAGGCTGCAATGAGTCTCTTGGGATTAATTAACTTTCCTCTTGAAGAAAATCCAAAGCATTTATCTTTATCTGCCACATTGATATTAATTAACACCTCTGTCTGCAAATGAAGTTTGTTTTGAAGTTAAGGTCAGTTCTGAATGATGTTTACATTCTCTGAAATGTGGATTTAAATAATGTTCATACTTTATTTTGGTAAAATACACAATGAGTTATGATTTTATTGAATTCTAAAAACAAGATATAGATAAAGATATCTTTTTTTTATAATTATTTTTTTTTTCTTTTTTCTTTCTTTTTTCTGCCTTATGTAAATTCAAGCATACTATTTATTTTAACAGGTATTCAGATAATACCCTTATTCTATCATTGCTGAAAAAGTTCTTATTGTAAACTTAGAAGAAAAGGTTGAGAGAGCAGTATAATTAATCCCTTGGGTTTGATTATCTTGCTGGTTTGCAAAATATTTTAGAGGGTTATCTTTCTGTCACTTTAAGATTAATTAACACCTTTGTCTGCAACTGATATTTGTTTTGGAGTTAAGGTCAAGCCTGGGTGATATTTGCATTCACTGAAGGCTGGCATTTTAGAAAACACATGCTTCATTCATTTTTAAATATACATTTAATTGAGTTATTACAGATATGATGTTTTTTACTGCCTTATGTAAATACAAGGATACTATTTACAGATTGTTGGATATTTAGCAGTTGCTGTTGCTTATTCTTTATATATTTTGAAATTTTTTGGAATCAAGTAAAATTCTCATCCCCTAATCTGCACCCTTATATTTCTAACCCTCCGCGGGGCCCTTGCTGACTGGTCAGATTTCTAGTTGGAATAGCGTTAAAAAAACATTGTACAACTTTTCTTTTTATCATGTCTCACATGCACTTCTGTGAATTAATTTATTTTAGCTGATCCATTGAATGTCTCACTGTATTTTCGCCATAACTTTGCCAGAGCTAGTCCAAAATCCTCAGATCTTGTAATTTGCTGAATATCGAAAAATAAAAGATTCTGAAAAATTTGTGAGGGGTGTGACATAAGTCCTGTAGGTTTACTGTGGTGGCACTATGATATTTGACAACTGAGAGAAGACTATAGATTTGTATGTTTGATTTGCATTAATGTTAGAAACTGCAAGCTGTAAGTACTAGAAATGCATCCCCTGTCCCAAATATCTAAGAGAAAGTTAAATTTAAAATAGTTCATTGATACACATACATTAACAGTACCAATTCTGTGTTTTGTATACATAAGTTTTTCAAATAACACCGTTTTCGTAAGAAATTAAGGTAATACAAAAAAATCCGTCCTTAATTAAAAATAAAAATTTCTATTGCATTTTTTCATTTTATATTTATTTTTCTGACCGACTGCTAAAATTTCAAGCTTTTATTTTTATTTTTATTTCGACCCCCGACTCAGATTTTTGAAAAAAAAATCCTGTAAAACAGAAAATAAAAAAATGTTGGCCTTATAAATAAATATTTAAAAGGACAAGTATAAAACTCTGTTATTTTTCTGTTCCTATATAAATGTGCAGTGTAATCTTTGTTTGTCTGTAGAACCCTTGCTTCAGTTCAATCAATCTGTATACCACGTCAGTGAAAATGATGGATATCTACAGGCAACCATCACAAGATCAGGTGAGTGGAGCTATTTGTACAATTACTGTGTCCATCTCAAGTAATGTCCATAGTGGGATTCTTAGTGAAGGGTCATGGACACTTATTTTGGGGCATGAAAGATACAAAAATAGTGAAGAAAACTAAAAGACTATTTGTAAAACTTATTTCAAGGAAAATTGACCTACTCAGAATTGGAAAATTTTTAAAGTTGATTATCTATGTTTGATAAAAAGAAAATTTCCAAATAAGCAACTGTGCTGTTCATTAAAATTTTGCCGCTAGAAGTAAAAAAATTTGAAAGTCCTTCTCTCCTTTGTCATAAAAGGTGATGTGAGTGACAGTGTATCTGTAGTGTGTTACACTGTCCCTCTGACCTCCCGAGGAAGTGGTCCAGACAGATTGGAATCGGGCTCGGATTACATCACCAGGACACACTCCAACAGGAACAGAGTTATCTTTCCTGCTGGAATCATCAGTGCTTCATGCAGTGTCAGGGTAAAATTAATATTTTAAAGTGAATTTTTATCACTGAATTTTAGTGTATGACTTGTTACAATACATCTAGTGCCTTTTCGAATGGGACGTAAAACAACATACAATCAATCAATCCACTTTAATGTTTTCTCAATTTGTTAACTAGGTGATAGATGACAGTATCTTTGAAAGCTCTGAAGAGCTTGAACTAAGACTTGCGGATCCCTCTTACAATGCCAGGATAGGACTTCTGTCTTCAGCTACAGTCATTATTGATGGACCTAATGATGGTAGGCAAACCTAAGTAAAGAATAAAACATAAAACAATTAAAAACTATAATATCAGTGTGATTTACTGATTTGTCTCTGACATTAGAGTCCAGCATACATTGGTCCTTGCCTTATTACCATTTTGATGAAGATGCTGGAGATGTGGAGGTGGAGCTGCTCCGGTCAGGGTCTGACCTCTCCCATACTTCTGTGGTCTGGTGTGCCACCAGACTCTCAGAACCACCCTCAGCCACCCCCGGTGAGGATTACATACCGAGCTCCACCCAGATCACCTTTGCTCCAGGCCAATCCTCTCAGGTGAGCAGAGATACTGACTGTCAAGGACTGTTGGTTTTATATAGTGTGTGGATAGTTTTGAACCAGACACGTTTAACAAAAAATAAAACTTTACCATAAATTATTAGATTTAAATTAAATATATAAAGTCTGGAACATTGCAGACAGTGCTTTTTATGCCCTGCCATGAATATGGCCGGGACATATAGAGTTTTGTCATGTCCATCTTCTGTCCTTCCATCTTTCCATCCTTCAGTTCTTCCATCTGTCCATCTGTCATGCTTTGCATTTAGCTCGGTTCAAAGCTCAGTTTCAAAGGAACTATTCAAGATATTTTTATCAAACGTCATATGGTGATACGTATTGATGAGAGATATTCAACTGCATCAACATTTTTTACCTTGATCTTTCCTTTGACCTTGACCTCACTTTTCTTAAATTAATGTTAAGCTCAGTTTTAAACAAACCATTCAAAATAGTGTTATCAAACTTCATATGCTGATACATACTGAAGTAATCCATTCAACTGCATCAACATTTTTTTACCTTAACCTTTCCTTTGACCTTGACTTAAATTTTCATAAATTAGTGTTTAGCTCAGTTTTGAAGAAACCATTCACAATATTTATATCAAACTTTGTATGCTGATACATACTGATGAGAGCTATTCAACTGCATCAACATTTTTTGACCTTGATCTTTACTTTGACCTTGGCCTCACTTTTCTTAAATTTGTGTTTAGCTCAGTTTTAAAGAAACCATTAATGATATTTTTATCAAACTTCATATGCTAATACACACGGATGTAAGCTTTTCAACTGCATCAACATTTTTTGACCTTGATTTCACTTTTATTAAATTTGCATTTTGCTTAGCTTTAAAGAAACCATTTAAGATATTTTTATGTATGCTTATGCACTTATACATAATTTGGTGAGAATTCATCATCTTTATTCTATTTTTGAAGAAACTATTCAAGATATTCTCATCAAACTTCATACACTAACACAAATTTTCATGTTGCATTATTAATATACCCTTGGTGGTGCATTTATGCCCTATGGATGTATTTCTAGTTATAAACAATGTGAATCCAACTGTATGAAAATTAACTACATTTTTAAAACGTACCAACTTATTAACTAACTACTATTTGTGTCTCTGAAACAGAAATGTCATCTGACTCTTTTGGATGACAGTGTGGAGCCAAGGCTAGAAGGCAATGAGACGTTTGTTGTCTGGCTGAGTACTCCAGTAGGAAGTTCCCTGGGAATTCCCCACACAGCTGTTGTTACTATTTATGATGGTCATTTAGACAGTAAGTGTCTGATCATTTAATTTTTTCAGTGAATATTAAAATCACCTATTTATTTAAGGTGACTTCAAAGGTCTATTACTATCTTTCCAATTTGTTTGTATTGAGACTGTGTGTCTGTAAACTTTAGTCCATTTTATCGTCTCCAAAGCCTGTTTATCAAGCCCATATACTGTTGTGCATGGTATCTTTAAGACAGGGGAAACAAAAATCATGAATCATGAAATGCATTCAAATATCAATCACTAGCAAGAAAATTTATAACAGACCAACTTGTAGAACTAACATGTGAGATACAGGTGGCTGTTAAGGCCCATGAGCCTCTTGTTACTTCAGTTTAAACAATATACAATGTGCTAGAAAAATAAGTAATGATTTTTTAGTTCCAACTATGGAATTTACATACACTGAGATGATCGTAAAAGAGAATGATAGAGTGGTACACATCCCCATCAGAAGATTAGGAGATACCAGCCAGAATTCCTCAGTTATCTGCTACACACGACAAAACACTGCAGTAGTCATGATGGATTACAGTGAAAGACCACTCACTGAAGCCTCAAGAATAACATTTCTACCTGGAGAACAGGTAAAATATGTCAAAGAATGAAGAAAATCTTGTGGTTCTGATATACATGGTGAATATAAAAACTTAATTGTGAGAAATGGCTCATACTTAGGGGGAAAACCCTAAATATTATTCATTTTTCCTTTGGAAGGTGAAAAACTGTTCTGTTGGGATTGTTGATGATAGTGACAATGAACCAGTGGAATTCTTTTTTGTCTGGTTAACTCAACCTAAAGGCACCAAGGATACCAAAGCAGCTGTAGGAAACCAGGTCAAGGTCAAAATAACAATCATCAACCCAGAAGATGGTAAGTATCTGCTTGTCAATGATCTCAGTATTTGCACTGCATTCAGAAAAAAAAAAACCTGTGCAAAATTTATTACCTATAATCCATATGTACGAGGGCTGTTAGAAAAGTTCGCGGACATGTTCCATTGTGAGCGCACTATTTCCACAAAACCGGTTAAACTCTCCAGATAAAAACTTTACCTATTTTCCAGTAAATATACAAAGGTTTGATGTTTTCCAGTAATCCTTAAAAAATATACAGTTATATTATTTTGATAAAACATGCTTCACGGAGCATGCTACTTTTTCGTATGTTTACATTGCATAGACTTTTTATTGAAATTTAAAATTGCACAGTTGTAGCGCAGAAAGAATTATGATATTTTACCTGTCGCTATAGTATTCATGAAACGTCACTTGCCGAAATTTTGAATTAAATTGGAGGATGTATGACTGTTTTATAGCCATTTATAAATAATCAACGCGTAAAAACAAAGCCAAGAATGGGAACGTCATTGAACGTCATGGAGCACCGAGCTACTAAAAAAGTATGTGTGCATACAGGAAAATGTCTAAAAATAGACTAAAATGCTTCTAGATGCTGCTGGAAATTCTCTACACGTACAAAGGACAAAAGTATTCAAATGGTAGCTAGTTTTATAAAAATGGAAGGATTAACATTTTTGATGATCAACTCCATCGATACCTCAATACCCCACTTATCGCATGGACGTTGCGCCTATGGATTTTGCATTGTTTCCTTACCTGATTGCTTAACTGCGTATACATTTATTTTAAGATATCTCTAATAACCGAAACAGCACAAAAGACATTATAGAAGAAAAGTAACATGTCTTGATATAGAATTTTTAATTTTTAAGAAGAAAAAGACAAGAAAAGTTGAAAGAAATGAAAGATATTTAGAACTTTTAAAAGCTTAACGGGTTTGAAATCTGGTTGTCACGTCACTTAACGTCAAGTGATTGCTCCATGAATCCTATGACCGCATTGTAAAATCATTGTAAATTTTCAAAATTTTAGTAAATGGACCTGATTTTTTACATACTAATAAACAAAAGATAGTAATTTAATCAGACATAGGTCATACCTCATAGTACACAATAGATTTTCCGTAAATCAAAGTGTCCGCGAACTTTTCTAACAACCCTCGTATATGTTTAAGCTTAGATAATTGTTATTGTAGCTCCAACACTTCAGTTTGAACAAGAAGAATACACAATTCATGAGCCAAGCATTGGTGATCATTCGGGTATAGTGAGTCTGAGAATTATCAGAAATGGGGATGTAAGTGGTACCTCCACCGTCCGCTGTAGTACAAGAGATGGCTCAGCTGTGTCAGGAAAAGACTACAATGCTAAAAGTCAGATTATAACATTCTCACCAGGTTAGTAGACTACAATGCTAAAAGTCAGATAATAACTTTCTAAACACGTTAGTCTCTGTTGATAATCTTTAAGGTTCACCATCACTCTGTTCACACAACTGAAATGTAAACAATTTCAGCATTCCTTGTGAGACAAAATGTTACAGAAATGGCCTTTTAACTTGACTGATTCTTCTTATAGTGGTTAATACTAGTGAGAGTTATCTCTCTTGGAGGGTCAGTGAACCTTGAGGAATCTTTAGCTAAGAATTGGGATCTAAACCAAGAGGAAGAGTTGTACCTAATAGAGATGTAAATGTTTATAGACAGTTGTACATTTTTCTGGGCTTTTGCAGGGGAGAGGTACATAGATTTTCCAGTGGAGATCCTCCATAACAACAATATTGAGTGGCATGAGTCATTTCGGGTCATACTTGGTCCAGAGGACCCAACAGGAGCGGGCCTGGGAGACAGGGCTTTGGCCAAAGTCACTATACTGGACGATGAAGTATCAGGCAGTCTTATCTTTCCTGCTCCACCCATTGTATGTTGAATACAGTACACTTTGTTTTGTTTTGTTTTTTTCTACTTACCTGTCTCTGAAAAGAAAAAAAAGCATTTCTTGATTGATTTTTGTTTTAAAGTTTTATAATTAATAGATTTAAGTTTCATAACATATGTTACATTTAATGCTTTTAAACTTTGAAATGTTACTTTATTTAAGAAGTTCACCTCATGAGTCTCATAGTTACCAAATTTAAAATATTTTTAATGTCACTTTATGCACTACAGTTTTAACTGGTAAGTAAACTATAGCCTTGAGAGAAGAAAGTGCTTTGAGGAGCATGATTAATGTAAAAAGATTTGCAGCAATGTTTTGTAAAGCTTAAAACAGATTTCTTGCGAAAGTGACTGCATGACCTGAGAAATGCCAGAAATTATGTTGCTTTATAGGATAAACAGATAAATTTATTTGAAGAATCAAAACAAAGAGACTGTATCCTTTAAAAATATGTGTTTGTTTTCTTTCTGACACAGGTGGTATCTCTGTTACACTTAGATAATATACAAAAGGACTATAAAGAGGACCCCTCCCCTGGTTACCCCCTTGTCTGTGTGTCTGTAAGTAAAAGTAGAGTCTTGACAGTTACATCTTTTTTTTTTAATGCTTACTTTTGTCCTCCATTTATTCAATATCAGTTTTGAATTTCCCATATTTATTATAATATGATAACACTTTATCCTTTATTTGTTTACAGCCTTGTGAGATACAGTATCCATCATACAGTATTACTCACTCTTTGTGTGAACAGTCAGGAATCAACCAATCAGCTGTCTCCTATCGTTGGGAGGTTGCCATGCCAACCACTTACCAAGGCACAAGACCTCCCTTTGTCATGGTGACAGACAACACTCCCTTTACAAGTGTTGACTCCAAGGTTCTTGACAGTATTTACTTCCGTCCATCATTTCGTGTTCGTTGTACCATTCAGCCTCTTCATTCTAATGGTAATCCCGGTATACCATCAAAGAGTCATGAAGTCAGGATTAACCATAACAATGGTATTTGTAATTCCCCTGTTTTCAGGGGAACACCCAATAGTTACAGTGCACAATCATTTCTTGCCAATTTAAAATATGTGGGACCAGGTGATAGAAAGCACCCCAACACTGTCCATATTTCCATCAGAGTTCCACATCAGGATGGCCATCTTCCACTTATCTCCACTTACCCTATCCACAATCTACGCTATCTGCTGGCGGAGCCTGTGTACAGACAACAGCATTTGTGTTCTAACTTTATAAGTCCCAATGAGCTCTCAGGGATTGTTAACTCTGGCTTTCTGAACAGTGCACACACAGAGCCATCCCTATACAAATTTCCTCACCAGTTTGATCCAGTTTTTCGAGAGAACAAGACTTTAGATCTGTATCGCCATTTAAACTTGAAGTCCTGCATGTGGAAATTTGATGCATGGTATCACATGACTGATTTAGTGGATGTTTGTGGTGGAAAAGTAACTTCTGATTTTCAGGTATTTCGGGTAATTTGTAGAGTAACACCAGCATTATATGATGATAAAAAATGTAAAAGTATCTGACTAAATTTTTCTCCCCTTGCAACTACTGTGTAACTTACATTTTTTATGCATTTATCATTCATTGCAAGCAAGGAATCAGGAAGCATCAAAATTTAAATGTTTTGCAAATTTTGTATGAATTTTGTATGAATATTGATTAAATGTTCATGTTTCCTTTCCAGGTCAAGGATGCTGGAAAGACTTATCTCACAGTGACGGTGCCCCTGTATGTTTACTATGTGTATGCCACAGCCCCTATAGGGTGGGGTTCCCTTCAGCATCACACCCAGATGGAATTCTCTTTTTACTATGACACCATTCTGTGGCACACAGGACTTGAAACCAAGGGCACTGTATCAGGAGATCTGCAGGTCCTCAAAATTTTGGTTGGCAGGGATGGGAAACTTATTGTTGATTTTAAAACCCATGCCAGGTTCAGAGGTAAAAATTAACTTACTTGGTATTTATAAGTTGCATAACTTTATTGTATTTTCAAAATTACAAAAGATTTTTTTTAGCTTTATTGCAGTGAAAAGTTTTGAAATCTAACAACGATGATGGAAACCAGTCTTGCATCAGTGGTTATTGTGATGGTTATTTATTTATCCTTATGACTCCTTTTTTAGGTTTATATGTAATACAACACCACACCTTGCCTAATGTGGAGAGTAGAGTTATTTCCCCTGAAGGGATGTCCCTCCACATGGATCTGACACTTGTGTGGGGGCAGCAAACCTTTGACAGCCCACAGCAGCTGTGGAGAACCTCCAGTGACTTCAGCATCAAGGTTTGTTTTATTGAGGAAGTCAGCTGCTGACTGATCAGCTACTGTGACTTAACAAGCATGTCATATATACTGTAAACCGATTATTATTTGTAATATCTTTATTTCGCGATTCTTCAGTTTGGAATCCATCCGCAACTACTAAAATTCACCACAAAGGTAACATTTTACATAAATACATAGGTGAATTATTGGTTCGCGGCGAGAAAGCTTTGCGAGTAAAAGAAGGTCAGGAAACTCGCAGATATTTCTTGCTCCCGAATAAAAGTTGGTTTACAGTATAATGTAGAGGTGTCAGTGATGTGATGTCATTCTTTTGTTCTCATTGTCTAAATATACAATTTAAAAAAAAAAAAACAAAAAAAACTTATGTGCACAATGTCCATATATATTACAGGATTACACAGGTACATATGTATTGGAACTTGTTCCCTGCACTGTCCATCCAACCCAGAAATACATCTCTAACCAGTCCCCTATACCCTGCACTGCCCAACCCCATCAAAGGTAGTGTGTGTGTCTGTAGCTATACCTAGTCTTTAAATAGTTTTATATACATGATCTATATAGTATATTCTTAGGAATAAATCTTAAAATTGTTGTTTTCAAATTTAAGATTTGAGGTGCCTATAGCCTTCCAGCAATCAAACCACCCTGTCCCTCTTGTATATTCACTGGACACATCCTTTCAACTAACAAGCAATAAAAAGGTGTTCTTAATGGACATTCATGATGAACAACTGAAAGAGGAAATGAAATATGATGGCGTGTTTGATCATGGTATGTGAGAAAATCATTTGTTGGATGATAAAGTGCAATAACTTGGTTTTATAGAGATTTTCATTACGCTACAAGAACTTTCATTTTGCACGTGTAGGGCAGACAGTTTATGGGCGAGTATCATGGAACCCAGAACAAGATCTAAAGTCAGCCTACAGACTGTCTATTCAGAAAGTCTACCTCTGTGCAGGTAAAATAAGTTTTGGCATTTGTAAAATTTATGAAACTGCTGTATAAGATGACATATATTTTATTCATTATTTTTCAACATATCAAACCAAAAGTAACTAATATTTTGTGTATTTTCAGGGAAGAATGGTTTTGTTCCAAACTATGATCCTGAAGGGAATATATTTGGGGAAGGAAAACAATATGGATGTATTCAACCAAGTCCTGACCTCCAGTATAGGTTTCTTCTCCTGGTGAGTGGAGGGTCACATGGTACAATAAGTACAGTTCACTTAAAAATTTTGTTACAAACATAAGTTTCATATTTTTTTTACAGGACAGAGGAAATACAGATGTGACCCAGAAGAAATTTCAAGGGGTTCCATTTAATGCAAAGTTTGCCAGTAACAGTGTAAAGCTCCATTCACTAGAAGCCTTTCCAGGGGTGGATGGATTTTCATTTAGTGTAGATCCTTTGTACAAGGTAAATGGAAATAATTTTCCTTCTAAACAATTTTCTTCCATCTGAACAATATGGTTTCTTACAGTTGCATTATTACTTAATTCTGAACTAGACTTTGACCCGTGCGTGCACGGGTTGACATTGTTATGAATGCATCCATGTGCATATCGGACATTTACCAAGGGTATCCAAGTAGGAAAGTAGGAACTTGAAAGTACTTCTTGCTGCAATAATGAAACCTTTTCCTGGGGGTGGGGGTGGGGGTTACAACTCTTTTTGGATCATACAATATCATTTCCATTTTTTTTTAATTGAAATCATATAATGTAATCAGAAACATTTTAAAATAAATGTTTTTGATGTAATTATTCAGAGCATCAAGTTTTCCAAAATATTTAGTAAAGTCTGAGTTTACCGCAAACTTTAAAGTTTACTGACCTTGACCGATTTTATTTTGGGACAGCCAATGAGAATTTAATTGGGAGCGGATCTTGAACTGAATATGGGAATTTTTCTTACTTCATACGTAAATAATGTAGCAAAAATAAAATACATACCTCATAAACATGTATTTATTACATTTTCAACAGTGTAATACTGTAATTTATTTACTGAATAAAAGTGATATTCTGACACAGTGTGAAAGGATATAAAAAATGGTATTCTCAAAGTGTGAGAATATCAGAAGTGCGGCAAAACGTACAATTTCCCTTCCCTTCACGAAGAGTGTTTTAAAAAAAAATCCCTGGCTTGTTATAAGATAGAGTTAATGAGCCATCCTGACAGAGACTAATAGTTATACTGACAAAGTTTTTTCCAAATATGTCGTTAAAAATCCACGTTTACAACGTTTTTTTCAATCTCGCAGTCGCTTAGCTATGATGTCTCAACCGCTCAACTATGACGTCACAGCCTATGACACTGTGCTACGAAAAGACAGAGGCAAAGGGAAAATCTAAGAAAATGTAATAAACAGAAAATTTAATGTTTTGTAGATGAATATGGAATTATTTCACTCGTGAGACAGGATTTTTTGATATTTTCACTCGTGCTTCGCACTCGTGAAAATATAAAAAAAATCATGTCTTACTCGTGAAATAAATTACATATTCATCTACAAAACATTGAATATCCTCTATTTTTACGTCGTTATATCGCGTTAATTGTGAATTTTTATAGAGCAATATACATCAACATAAGCTTAAAAAAATAAATCATGAAAAAATAACTTGGGAAGCACTAAATACATATTGGGGGGTGGGGGGGTTCTGTCCCCAAGCACCTGTGCTCTGATACTGATTTGAACACCGTTATTTAGCGTGAATGTAATGCGCACGCGCAAGATTGTAAAATCCAAAAAATCCAGATGATTTCCGGAATTTTTTGAGGAATTTTCGTTGATTATTAATTAGCGAAGCTTAATTCAGAAAAAATAAAAACAAATTGGTAATCTTCAAGTACCAATGATGTTTAAAATATATAAAACAAAAGACAGCACTCTTCCGATTTATCGGTATTAAAAGCCAAAAATTCGAGTCTATAATTTTAATATAGTAGTATAGATGATGGAGATAAAGGTTTCTGTTTCTTAGAATGATTTAAACTGTTTTATTGTTGTATTTAAAGGTAACCTCAGGAAATCAGTGGTATCTACAGGTGATCTACCTCATTACGACGTCCAGCAGTGACAGTGGTTTTCATCAGGTCAAACGCTCAGCAGGTCTATATAGACAAAAAAGAGACACAAGTTCATTAGAAGATCTATTAGAATCCATAGAGAAAAATGGAAGAAAAAATGGCACAAATATTTGTCATCTACCTCTTATGAACGCTCAAACTGACCAAATAGGGGGCATCCCATTAAACAGTTCCCCTGACCAATCAGAGAAGACTCCAACTGAAAGTTCACCAATGGCAGTGCCCATTGTTATCCCAGTGTTAAGTGTGTTATTGTGTGTTATTATAATTGTGATATTTATTGTGTATCGTAGGAAGAAAAGGAGAAAACATGATAAATCTAGTCAAGAAAAACCAAGTACACTTGATAGAGCAGCTCAAAATCCCATATGCCAAAGACAGATACAGAGAAACTCGCTCTCCTTCTCCAGAATTAATGTCAATGTTAAGGAACTGAAAGACAGCATTGTGACACAGGGGGAGGGTGATAGAACAGCCAGTGTGGATCTCACCACCTCCAGTGATAATGCTCAGACCAGCAGGAAAAAATACACAGGAACTGAAGTTTAACCTCAATTTTATTTTTAGGTGGGGATGGGGGTGGGGGGAGGGGTCTTTTGGCTTGTGAATGGTTTAATTGTTTTACTAAAGCTAACTTGTTCTAATTTTTAATTATGTACACTTTCTGAGAAAGTTATTATTACTAATTTTGTTGACAATAAGAAATCCTACATTTGATTTTAGAATATAACATGCATTGAGTGTATGAAAGTTTAAGTGCCTTGGATATTGATATTGAAAAAAAAAAAATGTGTACACGAATTTGGTTTGGTTTTTGCAGTAGAGATACGATACATTGTTGACTGTTTAATTACACTTTTTCATACAATCATCTCACATTTGATCTCCCATCTCGATCTTCAGCAGGCATTCTATTTTTTTTTCATTTTCATGGCAAGGTTGAGAAGAGGGCAATCTCAAATGATGCAAATTGATCAAGATTTTTTTTTTATACTACTCATGTAATTTACATGTATATGTACATTAAATGTGATATCGCTAACACTAAAGATAATACTCATCCAAGTGTCTGTGGATTTGATGAAAGTTGTGTTAGTGGGAGATGAATTTGTTGAGCAACACTCCACATGTGCAATATTTTCAATATTATTTTTGTTATATATTGGAAGCATGACTATTTATTAAACAACGTGTAAAATCTGACTTTTTAATTGTCAATTGACGATATTTTACTTGTGTTGGAAGTTAAGGATTGGATGCAGTGAGTATAACAGTAAAGTTTTTGTTAGCTCACCTGAGCTGAAAGCTCAAGTGAGCTTTTCTGATCACATTTTGTCTGTTGTCCATCTCTGTCCATCTGTTTGTAATTTTTCACATTTTCAACCTCTTCTCCAGAACCACTGTGCCAATTTCAACCAAACTTGCCACAAAGCATCCATGGGTGAAGGAGATTCAAGTTTGTTCTTTCAAGGAAAGATGATTAAGAATTAGTGAAAAATTGATGGTATCTTTTAAAAATCCTCTTTTCAAGTACCACTTGGCCAGAAAAGGTAAAATTTATATAAACCTTCTTTACATAGTGTAGATTCAAGTTTGTTCAAATCATGACCCCTGGGGGTTGGGTGGGGCCACAATGGGAGTCAAAGTTTTACATAGGAATATATAGGAAAAAATCTTTAAAAATCTTCCTCTGAAGAACAGTAAAGGCATGATTAGTCATTTGATATGGAAGCATCCTCAGGGGGTTTTGTTTCAAGTTTGTTCAAATCTTCACCCCCTGGCAGTAGGGTGAGCCACATTTGGGATCAAAGTTTTACATAGGAATAAATAGGAAAACTTTAAAAATATTTAAGATTAGCAAAGTCATGTGTAGACATATTGATATGATATGGATGCATCCTTATGTAGTCTAGATTCAATTTACCTCAAATCATGACCCCCGGGGATTGGGTGGGGCCACAAAGGGGGATAAAAGTTTTGCATAGGAATATATAGGAAAAAATCTTCTTAAGAACAGTAAAGCCATGGTTAGTCATATTGATATGGAAGCATCTTCAGGTAGTGTAGATTCAATTTTATTCAAATTATGACCCCAGGGGGTAGGATGGGCCACATTGGGAATCAAAGTTTAACATAGGAATATATAGAAGTAAATATGTAAAAACCTGCTTCTGAAGAATAGCAAAACCATGATTGGTCATATTTAAATGGAAGCATCCTCAGATAGTGTAGAATCAAGTTTGTTCAAATCACGACCCCCGTTACACAAAAAGATTCTACTTTCGTCACGTGGTACTTGCGGCCCATTGCTACATTTGGCATACATTTTATGTACTGAAACACTCTCAGTATTCACGAATTATGGGAGCTTCATTACCAAACACAGTCGAAAATGGTATTGAGGGAAACATTAAAAATAATATACTTTATGTCAATACATGTAGGTTAGAGCAATTTTATTTCAAGAATAAGTGTCTTGGTTGCTATGGTAACACAGCATACCAACACAATTTGTGGCTTAGTTTTAATAAATACTACCACCTCAAGGAAGGGCACAGAGAATCAAAACTGCTAAATATATATACATATCTCTTCAACACCTTGTAACACAGCATACAGAAAATTCGAAAGTTACTACTACATTATAAAGTAACCATGGGGATCTCTTGGCAGTTTTTAAAGCAATTATTCCTTGCTAAAGAAATTATTCCTTGCTACTTTACGAATTTAGTTACTGTCTAATCAAACAATATATTATCTTAATCATCTAAAATTATATTAATCTAATGAAACAAGAGCTGAATAATAGATATTGATCGAGTTCGATGAAAGAAAGAATATTGTTGATATGTTCCCCCCAAAAAGGACGATTTTTACACATAACGACTTTTGTTCTTTCTTAACTTCGTAGCAATATTGAACCTTACATTACGCTTCTTGCACTCGGTGATCTCGAGATTGTATGGTGGTCAGAATTGAAAGTCAGGGTGTTTGTTTATATAATGAATTTAAAAAGTTTTGCTATACTTTACTATACTATCTAAGGAAACTACAGATTTTAAAAGATTTTTTATACGTTTTTTCCCCATATTATTCCATAGAAACGCTATATTTTAGACTACATTTTGAACTTCTTGAAATGTAGAATTTTAGACCACACCATTCCGTTTATAAAATTGCTTTCAAGCTTTATATAGAAAAATACTCTGTAAAAAATACACACAGAGAAATAATTAAAAATCACTTAATATTGTCATAGCAACCAAATAAAGAATATCATACTTATTAATGATTCCTTTTATTTTTTGAATAAGTAATCAACATGAATGAATAAATTTAATGCTTTTCAATACTTTCTTTCCATGGTAACGTTATAAATGTTTTCCTGTGCGTAATTGCGTGTGACATCAAGTCTTCAACTTTGGAAACGTTCACTTTTCTGCATTGCTGCAAACGTTAGTAATACGACTCTCGAAATGTTCAAACATAGGTAACCAAAGATTACGAAGTTCACCTCGACGAATATTATCTATAAGTAATGCAAATTTCACATCATATTTTTTTTCTGGTTAGTGTACATGCCAAGATCAATATCCTTACAAGTTTGGTTTACGTAGGACGTATAGTTACTTGGAAATAGACCTGCTTAAAAAAACTTACTAATGAAGAAAATTTAGGTCAGTTCCAACATTCTAAACAAGTCTGAAAGTTTTCATTCTTAGATGCATCATCTATGCAAATTTAATCATAACAGGCCATAATATTGTATAGGTATATACTCCAAAAAAATTACCCTGGTCACTCATCTGGAAAATCTAAGTTAGATCCAGCATCCGAAGCAAGTGTGGTAGTGTTTATCCCTAGATGCATCATTCATACAAGTTTAGTCCAGGTAGGGCTTATACATGTAGTTACTAGGGAAAGGACTTGCTCCTAAAACTTTATACGGGACGCCGACGCTAACGCCGGGGGTGTAGCATAAGCTCATCTCGACTTCGTCGAGGTGAGCTAAAAATGTTAATTTCAAAACTTTGTGGCAGCTTGCCATGGTAACCATGATACAAGGCACTTATTTTTACCTGATGGGAGTTTGTGGTATATATCTAGTAAGAAATGCTACTCTATAAAGTTAATTACAGAGAATGGCTTTTCATAAAGTTTCAAATTGTCTTTAAAATATTTTGTATCAGTGTATCATGCATTTTCAAAACATATTAGTGTGATATTTCAATGCGTTTCCATTACCAGTTCCCAGAGACTGTGTTTTTTTTTTTTGTTTTTTGAATTACAGTTCAGCTTCACTATCTTTGATATCTCGAATACCGTGGATTATATCAGATACTGCCAGTTGCAACAATGTACCTACACTCACTGCACAGATTGTAGCCCCACCGTTATATGTTTACAGTAATATGGTTGATGAAAATATAGGAATAAGTTTCCATGATATTGTATTTCAAAGATTTTGCACAAAAAATTGACATTAGTAAATTAGAAACTGTTATCATGTACATTTATTGATTTTCAATGGTCTGTGGCAATCGTTTTGTACCATCAACAGCATTGACTCTCTTCAATCTCGAGGCGTATATTGACGACAGGTCTGTTGCGATGTAATTTACGTGTTTGCAAGAATCAATCTGACATTGTCTTATGCAACATGCGATGAACGGGTGCAACAATCAGATGCAACACTAAAATATCTACCCCTAGACTGAGCAAAATGTGGTTGTTCTGGACATTTTTTGTATATATTTGTGCATCGTTCTGCAGCAGACTAACAGTAACATGTCTCAAGAGAGACAATGGTTTACGATCAATTTACAATTCATGTTTTCTTTGTTTGTGAATTCCTCTACGTTGAGCAACTAAAAATCCTAAAATAATTTGCCAAATATTAAGAAGCAAACAATATTTGCCTTTGTCGTTGTTGCTAGCTCAATTTGTTTTAAAGTTTTATAAAACTCACCTTATTCTTGCGTTTCAGACAATAAGTGACTTAAACAGCAAGTCTCCGTGGATATCATACTCAGTAATCGTATATATAGGTAAAACAAAAATTTCTGAGCTCTAAGGGTTTGTATCTAAATTTTATTAAGACCAAAAAGTAAAGTTTGTGGATTAACAAAGGACAATGCAGATATTCATCATTTAATGTACATTGTAATAATAAATAAACAGAACAATAACAATTACAATTGCAACTAATTATATATAAATACTAGGATAAGACCGCGGAACATTAACTGGCAAAATTGGAAATATGCAGCTTACGTCATTTCCATCTGTTATCGCCAAAACATTTAATGATAGACAACGAAATGGGCGGGTACAATTTGACACGGACGTCCGAGAAAACACTGGATTGAAATTCTAGTTTGAAATTCATTTTCAATCCACCTCAGCTACGCTAGAACGCACAGTGTTACTGATTGACCCAGAAGACAAATAATTTGAAATATATATAAATCAGAATTTTCTATCCCATGTTTTTAAAGAAATATTTGATTTCTGTTTGGTATGTGTATGTGTGTGGTTGTGTGTGTGTGGGGGGGGGGGGGTAGGAGTGGGCTGAACGATCTTGGAAATGAATAAGAAAGTGTTCTTTTAGTTTGGACAACCCCTCCCTGTTTTTGTTTGTCAAACATTTTTTTCAGAGAAGAAAAAACTAAAAAATAAAAGCTGTTGTCATCCTTGTCACCCCCCTTCTAAAATCAAATGGCCGTCCCCTAAAAAAAAATAATCTCTCTCTTCAATAACTCTGACGTGTCCTTAAAATTATAGGCTAAAAAACTCATATTAATATGAATTTCAAACAATATGTATTTGGGAATTGAATTTATTTGTCTTTTGGATCATACATTCACACTTAAGGTTTGAAAACAGCTCAGGTGGATTGAAATTGAATTTCAATTTTTTTTCAGTGAAGAAGTCACTTTTGTAACCCTACAAATAATAAATATATTCTTTTATGCGAGGCATAATCATACATGTAAATAATCTGATTCGACCATTAATTAATCTCCATTGATTAATTTTTAACTATACATATCTGGGAACTGAAATTATTTGTCGTTTGGATCACACATTATAACTTTGCCAAAAACAGCTCAGGTGGATTGAAAATGAATTTCGAATTGCAATTTCAATCCAATGTTTTCGCAGACGTCCGTGTCAAATTGTACCCGCCCATTTCATTGTATATCATCAAGTGTTTGACTGCGACAGATGGAAATGACGTAAGCTGCATATTTCGAATTTTGTCAGTTAATGTTCCACGGTCTTATCCGACTACAATACTGTTGGAGGCTGGAGGCAGCCCCCCCCCCCCCCCCCCGGTTATATATGCAAGATACATTCATTACAATTTGAAAAGACTACGTTACCATGATTTAATCGAGTTCTTATATAAGTCCACAGGCATAATTATTTTTTGACATTTCAAATGTCGCTTCTAGATTTTTTTTTCTCTCTCTTCCTCTCAATGCTCTCTAACGTAGTCACACCCTGCTACGAGAAGCAAGTGTATTCGTCATGTGGTCCAGTCTTTCCTTTTTAATTCATCTTTTTTTTTATAATGCGCACAGAACTCTTGTTTTTTTTTCACTTGAGTTTGGTCGGAAATCATTATATGTTATGGTGTCCGGATAGGGCCATTTGCAAAAGCTCAACAGCGCGTTCAGAAAAACACGCCGTCGCACGAACACACAACACGCCATCGCGTAACACATCTTGAACAACACGCTGTCACGCTAACACATGTTTGCACAACACACCGTCGCGCTATCACAAAGCTGTGTTAGAGACTTGTGTGACAGCGCGACGGCGTGTTGTGTAAAGTTGTCTTAGCTCAACAGCGTGTTGTTTGAAAGCGTGTTAGCGCGACGGCGTGTTGTGTATGAGCGCAATGACGTGTTTTGTATAATTGTGTTAGTGTGATGGCGTGTTGTGTGTTAGCGCGATGGCGTGTTTTTCTGAACGTGGTGTTCAGCTTTTGCAAATGGCTCTATCCGGACACCATATATGGTTCTGAAGACGTCAATCTCCCTCCTAAATCTGCAGTTAATTAGGGTCGCACAAAGGGTAAACATTGATTTTAACACAGCTTATCGTTAAAGTTCGCAATATTAAAAAGAAGCGTCGATCCTTCGTCATTCATACATTATTTCATACAGATCTACTGTCTCCGAATGAGAGCAAAGGAGGAACCTCTTACCAGTCTTGTCAAAAGAAATTTTTCTCTCCACGCGATCAGATCCGTCATCGGACTCCGATTCTTCTTCATCGGATTCCGAATCCCTTTTCTTAACTTTATTTTCTTTAGTTGTAAAGTCAATCAAGGTGCGCGCTTTATCCCCATCTTTCGAGATCTGTATGATGTTTTTCCCTGCACATACATACAAGTTTCCATGGCCATCCAAAGAGATATCTTGTATGGAAACTCTTTCCCAATCGATGAAGTCTGTTTTCCGTATAAACACAACACTTCCGTCTATCTCGCTGCATAGAATCATGTTCTTTCTAATACAGTATATTCTACTAAGATCATGGGATAGCGCAAATCGCCCGTTCTCACTGCATGATCCGGGCAGTTTTCTCACAATATCGCCATTTCTGTTCATTACGGCTATATCAGATCCATTGCTGCACAAAAAAATTTCATTGAAAAAATACATACATCTGATGGGCATGCTCGTTTCTATTTCTCTGGTTAACTTAAGAGTGGGATAAATGGAGAATTTGTACAGCTTCTGTTTCATACTAACAGCTATATTCTTCTCCATTGAGTCGACGCATATTGTTGTGGGAGGATCCCGAAATCTGTGAAGCTCTGTGAATTCCGCGTTTTTGTTTACTTCAAGCAACACACCTGTACTGTAACAGGTGCGATTGATTAGAAAGATCCTTCCAGATGAGAGAACGACTCCGTCATAGATGTCGATGTATTCTTCCGTTTCATAAGTAAAATTGGCTCTTTTCTTTGGGACAATATCCGAAGACGGGCATGTTATGTCCTCTAACCCAACGTCAACGTACTCCGCAAAAAGCTGAACATGCTTGTGGATTTCTGATGTTAGTAAGGTGTCTAGTACGTTTTCTTCTAGCTCTGCGACAGACTCTACATTTTCCAATTCCTGAATTTGAGAGTTAATTTGAAGGGTGTGTTCAGTTCTCAGCTCTGACAATTTCTGAATTTTGCGGAAGTACAGAGCAAGCTGCTGCTTAAATTTAGCCGCGGCTACAAAACTTTGTTTGCTCCCAACTTGATCCACCATTTGAATGATATACTTCATTTCATAAAGTAAACGTCGAAATCCTGTAAGTTTGGCCTTAATACTGCTAAGTAAGGTTCCATCTGAAACTTTGATACATTTCTGATGTGTCTCATAATTTTTATGCAGTTTTTTTAATGTCTCCTGTACCGCCGAGACAAAAGTCGATACTCTTTTCTCCATTCGTCTAAATACCTCTGTTTTTTCCTTTTCATGCAAAGTATCAATGGCTGCAGTGGTTTTCTCTCTGATACTGTTAAGTAATATTTTTAAGATAGCCAATTCAATACTTTTATGTTTTACTCTTGTTTCAAATAACTGGTCGAGTGTTCCCACTTTAAGACAAGTTTTGTGTTTGTCGGACATACAAAGGTTACAGCAGGGCTTATCGTGGTCATGACAGTATAATTCCAGTTGTTTCTTAGGGTGGACTGGACAGCGTTCGTTTACTTCAATTTGAAATGACTCAAAATAATCGTTTACTGATGAAACCTGATGAAAGTCCTGATCCAAGATTCTCCGATGTAGGTATTTGTAGCACATCTCACACATGCTCTGTCGGCATGTTCTGCAGTGGAAAATAGCCTCTTTCTTCTCGTTGACCACACGGCAGGGGTCGCAACTCTTCCGAGCTTTGTTCCCATCTCCAGAACAAATCAAATTTTCGACCAGATTATTTATCGGAAATAATTCAACTAAATCTTGTAGGGACAAGTCCTTTGAGGAAATGGTAAATTCATCTAAACACACTGGACACTCCAATGTTCGATATTCGCCAGCCTCCGATTTCTCTATTAATTTTTGAATGCACGGTTCACAAAAGGTGTGTTGACAAGGAAAATCTCTTGGAATGTTTATTTGTTTGTTACACAGAAAACACGGATAGAGACCCGAACCCACAGCATCCATCTTCATTAGATAGCATGTATTTTGTCTTTACGCCTTCCTTATACTTTTATCCTTTGAAAAATCGCCAGAGCAGTAAGTGTGAAGTAGGTGTATTCATTATCTATATTCAATACGTACGAGGTACATCTGATATACGAGTGAACGAGCAAGCAACTGTCGATGATTGCTGATGCATGCCGTACTCCACACGTTAATGCTGTCTTGTATTTACCACACTTATTACACTGCCTTAAGCCTTCATACAAATTCAATTCAGGATGATTGACTTACTTGCGACCGGGTCTATGTCCGGTGAACAGACTGGTAGCATTCCAATATTACGATATATGAAATACAAAGTTGTGTGTAGATATGTATTGTACATATGTATAAGCAATTTATTAATTAAAAACCGAACAATGTCAGATTTAATAAAGATCGACAGCGGTTACAATCATCCCTAGATTGAATGTGTACGATTGTACACATGTATGTACTATATACTATAATTGTGTAAAGAAAAAGAACACATCTTACTGCTCTTTTAATCTTTATTATTAAAACATAAACCAGTAGATGTTAATAAACATTACCTCTAGCTGTGTCAAAAAACTTTCAAAAATAAGTTATAAAAATCAAATTATTTTAGCTGATCTATGTGTCCAAAGAAAGTGCACGCACACACACTACATATAAATTTTGGATATCTTCTTAATCGCCTAGAATTACATCTATAAACACATTATAAAAATACAAGTCGACATTCTCCCCTCCAGCACCTACGGAGGGGGGGGGGGGTACTATCAACTATACCAAAAATTCCTTGAAAAGCAAAGAAAAACAAGGTCATCAGACGTTTTTATTGAGGGGGGCACAAGCATATAGTAGCTATGTTTTCTATAGTACTAGTATTTGCTATATATATCGGCAAAATTATTTGGGGGGGGGGGCACGGCCCCCGTGTCCCCCCCTCGGTTCCTACGACCATGCATGAAGAATATATATATATATATATATTTCATCATGCAGACCATACAAAATGCAATCGAAGAATATTGCAACTTAGTGTACATATACTTAAAATTAATACATTCAATTTATTAAAGCATTTAAGAAAAGAGAAAAGATCACGTAGCAACGGGGAGGGGGGGGGGGCAGGCCCTTCCCACTTTCTTTACTATTTGAAATGTTAATTGAAAGGCGCCCCCCCCCCTTTGTTGTAGAATAGTCAAATAAGGGTTTTGTAGTAGTGTATGAAACCTACAACCCCCCCCTCCCCCCCTCGAAATAAGATTTTCGAGTTCGCACAATTTTCAATTTCCCTTTTTTTTGGGGGGGGGGGGGGCTTGTCAAGTTTTTTTCAGGTAAGTTGAATTTTTTTTCTCTGGCTGCCCCCCCCTTTTTTCAAAAAACGATGCTACGTCCCTGCAACAAATATAAAGTGCTAATTCTGCGAAAATATGCAAAGGCTTTTGACTCCATTATCATCTGTATTCATTTGTACACGCAATGCCGGTATTACACCAGCGATAATGAATTAAAAAATGTCAAAAGTCCCTCTTTTACTCGGTGTCGCTGGTTTCCTCAATTTCATCATCAGTGATGAAGAGATCAAAGACCTTTACTAATCTTTCGTCCGAATAATACGAAGGTGTGAAGAAAACACAGAATCTTTTCCGTTCACGATCGAACCTAAGAAAAAGTGGCTCGAAATCTGGATCTCGGTCCAGAATGACTTTGGACGCTGTTTTCTCACCTCTAGGGACTTGCAAAATCTGGCCCCGCAATGTCTCGCAGACATACACATTACCGTAGAGGTCTACATCCAGTCCGCAAAAGCTCTGGGAGTAACAATGATCCTTCGATTCCCCTCTGTCAACAATCTGGCCACCCGCCACATCCTGCCAAAATATGCTCTGGTGGTTATCGAAGTATATACGTTGTCCGTCTTTTGAGAGTGCAATGTCCCGACCATCTACCGGCCCATGGAGAAAACGCAAAAGTTTTCCATCCTCATCAAGAACTGCTATGCCTTCATCACTGTTATGCAATCGACAATAGAACTTATTAGAGAAGAAGCGAAACCCTGCTGTCTCGATGTTAGTCTGAAAGTGTTCAACGCGCTGTAACTTCATATCATGAAGCGTAAATGTTATTATTTTCTTGTCACTTGTGAAAACAAACACTCGTTTTTCCTCATCATCCAAACAGATATTCTTCAACTGGAAGTTATCAGTTTTAGGTAATTCATATACAGTGCACATGTTTCCGTCGCTCAACACTCGAATTCTTTCGAGCTCCAATAGCAAAACGGCACCACTCGACAAAGGAACACATTCAACACAGTGTCGTGTCAATCCTTCGTCATATTTCGCTATTTCTTTGGCTTCTAATTTTGACGGATCTACTACAGTTTCTGGTTCTGGTGCCATGTTATCAAACTGAAATATTCCTTCAAATGTTTCTAGTGCTTCAGAAATTTCAGCAATGCCAACTGTTTCGGCGTCATCTTCGTCCAGCTGTGCAATGTATTCAATTTCGTTAAATTCCTCTAGCTCGGTGTTCAAGTGACAATCAAAAACAAATTGTTTTCCATATTGCTTTTCAAGACGCTCAATTTGTTTCTGAATTTGGAACTTTACTTTTAAAACGGTGACGAACATTTGTCTACGTGTTCCCCGCATTGCAACGATTGTGAGCAACTTTTCAGCCTCTGCAAGTGTTTTCAGAAATGCTTCTAAATGCTTTTCGGCAGAAGCAAGGTATTTTACTTCCCTTCTCTGTGTTTCTTGCAGCTTTTCGTTAAAAACATCTTGCATTTCTTCCAGATTCTTCTTTATATTGTCGACAATTGATGAAACCGAATTGCAAAAATCTACGTATTTCATTTCATGACATTCGACTGCCTTGTTTATAGGGATCAGGGCTGAGTCTGTCTTTTCTAGGACAGGTAAAACTTTTGACATGACATCCTTTGGTTCTTCGTTTGTAATCTGCTTAGCAATGCTTTCAATAGGCTTGACTTCAGAACAATCTCTGTGATCAGTTGCCATACAGATTTTGCAGCAGAGCAGCTTGTGCGAGGTACAGTACGCCTCCAGGATTTCACTCGTATGCAGAACGCAACTGCTTGTACTGCCCCGTTTGTCCTCTCCAAATGTATGCGTTAAAATGACGTGTTCCTGAAATCCTTCTATGCGTTGGTGCATGTAAGAGTAGCACATCTCGCAAAGGTTCTCTTTGCAGTTCTGGCAATGATACGTTGCTTCTTTTTCTTCCGTGGCTCTAAGACAAGGGTCACATTTACCCCCGCTTCTTTCAGAATTCATAAGCGACTCGAGTAAAAAGTTACGAGGCAAAGAGCGGACCCATTCTTTCGCTGAAATGTTCGTATTTGGCGCCAAAACTTCATCGCCACAAACAGGGCATTCAAGCAAATATTGAGAATTCCGTTCTTTTTCATCATTCTTACATAAGAGAGCATCGATACATTTTTCACAGAATGTGTGAAAACAAGGTAAAATTCTCGTACAGGAAAATTTATCACCACAAACTGAGCACACGAAGTCTTCACCACTCATCTCCATCTCAACAAACACTGTTATGTGGGCGTATATTGAACGCTTCAATACTTAGGTCATTCATCCTTCTAAAGCTGCCAACATTATTATTCAACAATACATTGGAGTTATCCTTCCTGGCAACTTGACTGAAATGGCAATACATGGGGTGTTTGACCATGTTCTACAATTTGTGATTTACATGTAGGAATAAAAAAAAATGTTTCATCAAATTAATTTTATTTTACGTTACTAAATCCAGTTGCGTATAACTGAATGAAACAGCACTATTCAATAGATACATAAATGCACAATGTACACTGTACGATATAGTCAGAACATTACTGAAGACGCATTCATTAAATTTAATGTTCAGTCTTCCTCTCCAAACCGGATATGAACCCGGTCCAGGTTCTCCTTGTTTCGTTTCTGGGCTCTATCAATTAACTGAAAATAATAAGGTACAAACTGCAGCAACTTTATGATTATTTTTTAATCTTGGAAATACTTTAATATTATATTACAGAAGAATAAGTTAAATGTTACTCCCAGTTGTGAAAACAGGGGAATATCTAAATTAATTTTTTTTTTTAATGATTTCACATTGCCAGTAATGATAATGAATAAAAATTGAGTAAAACAGGTACATAGAAATTAAAAGACTGCTATAAAAAAGTGTTTCGGACACATAGATTCGGGGGGGGGGGGGGGGGGGTTGTCCATACATAACCTTTTAGTGTTGAAAATGTTCATTGAAAGGCTAGTCCCCCTTTTTGTTGCAGTATAGTGATATAGTCAAATCAGGATAATGGTATAATGCAATTAAGGTTAGAACCTATATCCCTCCTCCCACGATATAGGTTTTTGGAGTTTGGAATTCTATCTTTTTTTTTTAATGCTTGACCAAGTTTTTTCAGGAAAGTTGGCATTTTTATCAGCTTGTGTCCCCCCTTTCAAAAATGATACTACATTGATCTTCAAATTAAGTTTTCAAAGATTAACTTTACAGTCTATTTTTTATTCAGGAGTAAGACAGAAAACACATTTGTAACTATTTATAGCATGACTGATATACAATAAGAAATATGTAAGTCATTCCAAAATATCTCTTGCACATAAGAAAGTTGGTATACAGATTACAATTTATAATACAATATTCACTCCTTTTTCCTAATGAATAACAAGACTTCATGAATTTTTGTACAATCAGTGCAAAAATACATACAAGTTACTCTGTTGTGTTGAAGTTATAATACATAGAAAATACCCCCAATCAGTTTCTGATGCCTACTTTTACTTGCATTTCACAAAAAATAAATTGTTATTGAAGTGCTATACACTATGTATCTAACAGATATTGCCTTCTGATAACAACCTACCTTCTTTTGACCACTCTTCCCTTGTTTTTTCTGTTTATTTTGATATTTCTTCATCTTATCTGATTTAAGTTTGTCCCAGTAAGCCTCCTCATCACCTCCTAAAAAAGTCAACACCATACACCATGAAGAAGCAACTGAAAATGTACACATTTCTCCCTAAAAAGATTTAAGAGCCAAAATTACCATAACCTAAACATGGACAATTACAATAAAAATATTGTATACATTTCTTACAGTACACATAATCAAAATAATTTTAATGCAAGCATAATGTATATTAAAAAAAATGAAAATAAATGTAAAAATGTATTTAAAAAAAAAAAAACAAAAAAAAAAAAACAACAACAACAACTCATTAAATAGTTAATATACACATTAATAGAGTCCAGTATTTTATTTTTTTTTAAATAACAGAAGTTTTCAGCTTTTAATTTTTTAAACACACCATAAGATCCAAACTGATTAAATATTTGATTTGTCAATTCTGAGATACATCATTATGAAATTAATTTCAACACTAACTATTTACCTGTGAGTAAAACAAACTGATACTGGGGCCAAGAATGCTGCACAGTCTTTGTAGCACTAGCGGCGTCCTTAAATCTAACATAGCCCTCCTTTTCTCCTTCCATTACATCTACATAGGCCACATGTACCTCGGAACCTAAGTCATTCTGAACAATAAAATAAAAAAAAATATGTCATATAGTCAACAGAGTAAATACTTCTTGATTTCTTTGATTTTTTTTATCTTCCATTAGGAAAGTAACAGGGAGAAATGTAAATGTAAAAATTATAAACTCCTCAAATTTGCCCTTTTTTTTTGGGAGAATTTTCTGATATTTCAAAGATAGAATATCAATATTGCCACTGGCTGATAATTCAAGCTAGACTTGAGTATTATGAGTTTTTAGATAAATGCTCCCTTTTACCATGCACAGTTAATAATATCAGGATGTGTATTCAATTTAATCATAATTATAATTAATTTAATCATAATCATAATTAACAATTAACAGATAAAAAAGACCTTCAGCTGTTTCCTGTAGACAGGTAAACCACTGGTCAGATGAACAACCGTCCCTGGAATCTCCACCGTAGGCTTATCAGGCATTTCCTCAATCACTTCACCTGGAGATAAAGTATTAGATGGAAGCACTAAGCACTTTACACCTTTATTTCCTTTACTAATATACCTAATACAATATAGATTTGTAATTTGTAGAAATATTTAACAAGAGGTCCAAGCCATAACATTCAGCTAAGTCTCCTTGGCCCTGCTAGACTTCAGAAGATTCTAAAAGGATTTTTTTCATTTTTATTCCGAAGAATATTGTGATCCCAATTTGTGGCCCCAACCTAGCCCAATATCATGACTTAAACCAAACTTGAATCCATAAACATCGGGATGCTTCATTTTCAATATGACTACCATGGTCTTGCTGTTATGAAAATATTTTTTTTTTATTTCTTCCATACACATGAATTACCAGTATGTAAAATCTGATCCATAAATTTCTTTTCGGTTACATTTAAAACTAGAAATATGTCCATAGGACATGAATGCCCCGCTGAGGGTATATTAGTAATGCAATATTTTAACACAAATTGAGAAAAGTGAGGTCAAGGTCAAAGGAAAGGTCAAGGTGAACAAATATTGATGCAGTTGAATAGCTTACATCAGTATGTATCAGCATATGAAGTTTGACACTAATTTAAGAAAAGTAAGGTCAGGTCAAAGGAAAGGTCAAGGTCAAAAATTGTTGATGCAGTTGAAAAGGTTACATCAGTATGTATCAGCATATGAAGTTTGATAAAAATATTATGAATGCTTTCTTTAAAACTGAGCTAAACACTAATTTAAAAAAAGTGAGGTAAAGGACAAAGGAAAGGTCAAGGTAAAAAAATATTGATGCAGTTGAATAGCTCTCATCAGTATGTTTCAGCATTTGAAGTTTGACACTAATTTAAGAAAAGTGAGGTCAAGGTCAAAGGAAAGGTCAAGGTCAAAACATGTTGATGCAGTTGAATAGCTTACATCAATTTGTATCAATATATGAAGTTTGATTACACTATCTTGAATGGTATCTTTAAAACTGAGCTAAACACTAATTTAAGAAAAGTGAGGTCTAGGTCAAAAGAAAGGTCAAGGTCAAAAAATGTTGATGCAGTTAAATAGCTTACATCAGTATGTATCAACATATGAAGTTTGATTACACTATCTTGAATGGTATCTTTAAAACTGAGCTAAACACTAATTTAAGAAAAGTGAGGTCAAGGTCAAAAGAAAGGTGAAGGTCAAAAAATGTTGATGCAGTTGAATAGCTTACATCAGTATGTATCAACATATGAAGTTTGATTACACTATCTTGAATGGTATCTTTAAAACTGAGCTAAACACTTATTTAAGAAAAGTGAGGTGAAGGTCAAAGGAAAGGTCAAGGTCAAAACATGTTGATGCAGTTGAATAATTCTCATAAGTATGTATCAGCATTTGAAGTTTGATAACACTATCTTGAATGGTATCTTTAAAACTGAGCTAAACACTAATTTAAGAAAAGTGAGGTCAAGGTCAAAGGAAAGGTCATGGTCAAAAAATGTTGATGCAGTTGCATAGCTCTCATCAATATCTATCAGCATATGAAGTTTGATATAAATATCTTGGATAGTTTCTTTGAAACTGAGCTTTGAACAGAGCTAAACGCAAAGTGTGACGGAAGGACAGACGGAAGGACGGAAGGACAGAAGGACGGAAGGACGGAAGACAGACATGACAAACACTATATGCCCCGGCCATATTCATGGCGGGGCATAAAAATGTTTGATGCTCTGTGGGGTTGATCCTGGTTGCTTCGGCGTGAGGAGTGGCGGGTCTATTGATTCGGCTATCCAGGCAATATGTATCATGTCGGTATACTTTCTATTGATGTCACTTAAAGCTGAACACGACTCGTAAATAGGCATACGCCATTTTTGATATTACTATCTACGATATCAGCCTCGGGGTATACTCTTCGCATTCGTTACACCTGACTGCTTTATTTTCACGGGTATCGGCATGGAATGGCAACCCGTGTTTGTGCTGGTTATCTTGCATTACCTTTGTTTACATTTTATTGCAGTTTGTTTGTATACTGCACTGACCTGTGCAACTATTATAATTTCTTGGGTATCTTACTCTCCTGCATTAGAATATATAGGTACACAGTCATATTTTGTCGCTACGGAGTGCTGTATAGCATATATGCTATACGTCCTTCTACACTGGTGACGATTGATTACACTGAACAGTGACCAAGTCAGCGGCTTTATATAGGGGCCCTCAGACATAGCAAGAATCATATCGAATATGGCGGACACATTCCTTTTACGAATTGTGTACAGCTTTAAGCCCTATATTAATTTAAATCATATATGGGGTCTATTTTGTGGCACGTAGGAATTCGATCTAAGGGTATTTAAACTCATGTTTTAAGTTCTATTGTCATTCGACAAGTTAGCCACGACCTATCAGTTTTCCGAAATTTTTACTTTGATATAATAATGAAGCGGAATTCTTTTGTAGATTGTTGTTCAGTTTCTTTAAAGTTGATCTGATTCCTAGCCTGGAGTTGCATAATATCTTTGGGACTATTCTAGGGCTGCCTATGTGCTTTTCTTCCAACCTGGGATGCAAGACTGCTCCAATGGACACGTTTACATTTGTACAAATCTGTTATATTAAATCTGGATAACATTGTCGCCTCCTCCAATATTTGTGTTTGAGTTTTTATTTATGTAAAAAGAATAGGAAATAATTTATGTTCGGCTGAGCGAAGCGAAAGAGAACATAACTGATTTTAACTAGGGATGTCAAAATATTTATTTTCCTTAGTCGATTATTCGATTGCATTATTCGAACGATAGTCGAATATATTCGGACCATTTTCTGAAAACAAAATCGTATTTCAAACTTCACTGGTACATGATGTATTTATAACTCAGAAACCATTTTACTTATATCTATTTGAAAAGTAACATCAAAATTTATGCAACATAACGCGTGGATAGCAAGATTATTTAAATTTCGAAACATAATTCTCCAAAATGTATGATTTCCACGTCAATAGAATTCATAAATCGGTCTGTACATGCAGTCAGTTTTTATTTCAGTAAGCATAGAAAAAAAAAATGCCATGAGATATTTTTTAAAGCTTCTTATGAAATAAATTGGGGGAGGGGTTTAATCTCACACTACCACATGTCAAGTGCCTGTAAAATTGTTAAACAGTTAGGTATTGCTTATTCGATTATTGTTTGCTCTGACTATCAAAATATTAATGTCCTTATACAGTTTAAAATGTATGCGTATTGTTTTAATACTATTATCGATGTGTCAAAACTTGTTACAGTTATGGTTTCTTCCTTGCGTTTGAGCAAATCTTAAAATAACAAAAAATAATTGGTATACATGGTATAAGATCAAGTCCAATTAATAATATTACAAACAAAGCCTACTAAATTGATGGGTAATTAATTACAAAAACAACACAGGCAGTTACTGATAAATAATTCCCGCAGTTCGCGTCAGTCGTGAAACACTTATAATTACTGTACTTTCTATACGCGCATGGAAAAGCGACCGTTTTTGTTGAGGAAAATTATCTTATCGACTCTGAGGAAAGACGGTTTCTCAATTTTGTGATGAGAATTCCATCACGTTATCACACTTTTATTGCATTTATTTAATTATGATAATATTCGAATGTCATTTCATCATTCGATCGTCGGTCCATTCGACTGATAGTCGAATGGTCGACTATTCGTTGACATCCCTAATTTTAACCCAACCTTAACCTCAGGGTGCATAATTTGAAAAAATAACTTAAATCCACACAACTTGGGAATGTATGCATATTAATATTATTTAGTGTGGCAGTGCTACTCTTAAAGAGATTCTTTTTAAAATTTCCTTTATAATTTTCTCTACTGGAGGATACTTGTATACTGTGAACGTATTACATTTGCTGTGTATTCTAATAAGCTCCTTTCGCGGCAAGCAGCCTCTGCTAAATCAAGTACATCGCTAAAAAGACTAATGTATACATATTTATATAAGTTATTTCAGAAGGCGCTAAATCAAATCTCCGCCAACTTCTGAAAAATTCTAATAAGCTCCTTTCGCGGCAAGCAGCCTCCGCTAAATCAAGTACATCGCTAAAAAGACTTAGGTATACATATTTATATAAGTTATTTCAGAAGGCGCTAAATCAAATCTCCGCCAACTTCTGAAAAATCCATTTCCGCCAAATATCGTATGCACCAAATAAAATACATTTACAGTATTAATATGACTTATGACTAATTGTAGTTTTGTTGCTCTGCATAAGGTTTTGATAGATTTTTTTTTTTCAAAAATATCCCCATGTCAGACTTTGAGCCCCATTTTGGCCCATTCTACACCAGATTTGAACAAATTTGAATCTGCAATAAATAAAGAAGCCTTCATAAATCATATATTTTTCATCTTTCTGGCCCTGCAGCATGTGGTTCTAGAGAAGATTTTTAAATGACCCCCCATTATTTTTGCCTTTTCTTAATTTTCTCCCCTTTTAAGGGGACCTGGTCCTTCATTTAAAAAAGGTAGAACTTTTTTAATACATGAGTAGTTTGTGCCAAGTTTGGCTGAAGTTGGCCCATTAGTTCTGTAAGAGACGAAAATGTGAAAACTTATGACACTGATAGATACATGTAACATACAAAGTTTAATCAGAAAGCAGGTGAGTGAAAACACTGCATTTCTTTAATGATCAGATATTGTAACCTGATTGAATACTCTTTTCTAATTTCATAATGAAAATTGCAACAGACAATCCTGGTTATCTGAAATAAATCTGGAAAATTAAAGTAAGATCTCACCTAGACACAGCCTATTGGTCTGTTAATTTTGTCGACTTACCTGTGTTTTCTTTAGGTAAGTCTTCTTTCCTCATGTGTTGCAGAGTCTTTTTCAGCTTATTCATGTTCATCTTTTGAAGACTTAGGTACTCTTTCTTTAGTTGTAACCATTCCAATCTATTCAAGAAAATACATGTACTACTACAAAAATGTTCTCAATACCACAGTAATTGATAATTTCAGGTCAATATGTGAGTGTTGTTTTTTTTTTTTGCATACTTCCTTTTTTAGGACTGTCCTTAAATTTGTGATTGTCTGAGTGGATCTTTTAGTGTGTATTCTCTATACTATTCTCTTGATGACTTACTTTGGCATCACTCTCAGCTCTGGCAGACATTTTTCTTTGTGTTTCTTCTTTCTCTTCCTCCTCTCCTTCTTCTTGGTGGGACTTCCTTTTCCTGTGTCCTCCGTCAAGCTAACATCGACCACTTCCTGTATTTTCTGTTGTGTGTCTGTATCCTCCTCCATTTCTCCACCTGACATCTTTTTCTTCTGTTTCTGATCACTTTTCTCAGAAGCTCTCTCCTTGGTGCTTTTACCTGTCATTGTGCCATCAGAACTTGTCTGTTCTGTTACATTATCCTGAGAAATCTTCCTCTTTTTCTCTGTCTCTGATCCACTGAATTCTCCTGACTTACTCACATCTGACTCACTAGCACTAGCATCAGATACAGCTTTCTGCTTCCTTTTCTTGCCTTTTTTCTGACTATTGGACTTGTCCTCACTTTCAACACATTCCCCCTTCATCCTCTGACTAGTTTCACCCTCAGAATCTCTCATCTTTCTTTTCTTTTTAGAGGATCCAACACTTTCTCCTTGCCCCTCCAAAGACTCTGTACTAAGAGTGTTCCGTCTCTTCTTTGGAGACACATCTGATAAATCTGTACTACTCTCACTGTTCTTGCTTCTTGGTCTTTTTTCCCTTTTTATTTTGACTCTGACTGGGAGTTTCTGTTCAGAGTCATTCTCTGTAAAGTAAAATTAATATTTTTTATCAAATTAGCATCTACCATTGACTGCGAAAGGACAAAACATAACTACTGTAAACCAATTATTATTTGCGACACCTTTTATTCCCGATTCTTTTATTTGAAATCCATCTACGACTACTAATTTTGGCGACCCAGGCAACATTCTTATTAAATACCTAAGTGAATAATTGGTTTGCGACAATAAAAATCCGCGAGTAAAAGAAGGTCGTGAAACTCGCAAATATTTCTCGCTCGCGAATACAGAAACAGTTACTTTTAAAACATATAAAACATGGTTTTTATACGGTGCAAATCATTGTGATGGAATTTAATAACCTTACCTCAACCAACACATATCAGTGTACCATTATAAAACATTTAAGCAACACCAATTGAAATTATATTTACAGAAGTGTATACCTCCAAATTCCTCCAATTTTCTTTGCATGCTGGTCAGTTGTCGATTAAACTTTGGAAACATTCCAGGAGAAGTTTTCTCCCCTGGTCTTACAGGTGGGTTGTTCAAATCCTTCAACCAAGAAACATAAAATAGATTAAAAGTCAATCAAAAATGATTTTTCATTTCTTTAGAATATTAAGTAGGATTTACATTTAATAATTACATTACATGTACTAACATGATTTTTTTTTTTTTGGGGGGGGGGGGGGGTTACTTTACATCTTTATCCATATTTTCTCCATTTTTAATTAAGAAATTTCTACCCAAATCTATACTTTTCCATTAATGTATTTTTGTAACTGAGCAGAGAATATAAAAACTGTATCCAGAAAAACAAATACTTAATTTCTATTCCTGCTAAAAAGGCAACCCAAACACAAGTACCTGGCATGCCCGCTTGGCAGCTTCTACTGTTTCAAACTCCACAAAAGCAAATCCTTTCCTGTCTCCCGTGCTTTTGAATTTTGGTATACTGATGTAAGTAATATTTCCACACGGTGTGAACAGCTTCTTCAGCCACTGATGATCAGCTGCTTTAGGTAAACATTCCTATGATATACGACATCAATAAATCAAATCAGGAAAATAATTTTATGTTAAACTAGAAATGTGTCCTTAGGACATGAATCTCCATGGAACATTTGTATTGCAAAATGAGGAGAAATGTACCTTGAAGTTCTTTCTTTAGTAAGAGATAACAGTAAAATATGACAGAACGGATACCCTCAGCACAGTTCATCTTTATAGCATTGTTCAGTAAAACACGCTTATAATGAAGTGCCAGGGATGTGCCTATGACTATGTACAGTAGACTATGTACCGGTAAATTATCAGTGCAGATGTTAACAATCATCCGGGAGTTGTTCTGACAATTATCCGGGAGTTGTTCTGACAGACTGAAGTTTCAAGACATTATAAAATGTGTTCTGATAGAACGAAATCATTATCAGGGCCAGCATGAACACAATGAAAAGGAAAACGATATTTATCATGCTTATGTACATATCATAGAATCATTAAAACAACTTTCATTAGAAAAAATAAAGTGATCAAAGATAGTGTAAGATACAAGATATCGAAGTTCAACTGTAATAGATATTTTCTCTTTAACTTTTCTTTGAAATATTATTAAGTTCATTTTCTACTATGATCACTTAAAAGAAATTTGACTTACTATATGTATACTTACTACATAAACAGTTTTTTCATCTAAATCTTTTATCTCCTGAATAGGCGTTTTCCTTCTTACTTTTGTTTTATCTTCATTAAGCTTGTAAAAAGTCAACACAAATATATCAGTGAATGGGATAAATTATTAATCTGGCAACTCAAACATTTGCATCACAGTCAGAAAATGCAGAAAAGGAAAATGTACAAGGAATTTTTGAGTACCTCGAAAAAGTCTGAATGTGAGAGTGCCTTCCTAATTTGGATAACATCAGATGTCAGGCTAGATATCTTTTTAAATTTCATAAATGCTTCAATGACTACATCTGCAAGACAAGAGACTCAAAAGCAACAATGCTCACCTGAGTCAATTAGGCCCTGCCCTTTCCAAATAAATAGTTATTTCTATGTAAAATTTTTATCTCCCTTTTTTGATCCTATCCCCAGGGGATATGAAATGAACAATTTAGAATCTACAAAACCTCTGGAAACTTCCATATAAGTGTCAGCTTTGCTGCTCAAGTGGTTTTTGAGAAAAAGATTTTTCCTATATATTTCAATGTAAAACTTTTATTCCCCAATTGTAGTGATTGATTTTGTGACCCTAACCTACCTCTGGGGGCCATGATTTGAACAATTTAGAATCTACACTATCTCTGGATGCTTCCATACAAGTTTCAGCTTTTCTGACCCAGTGGTTCTTGAGAAGGCGATTTTTTTTAAGACACCAACCTATTTTTGCCTTTTCTTGAATATCTCCCCTTGGAATAGGACTTGGCCCTTCACTTAACTTTTACAATTTAGAATCCCCTTTACCCTGGAATGCTTTGTACCAAGTTTAGTTAAAATTGGCTCAGTGGTTCTTGAGAAATTGAAAATGTGAAAAGTTTATAGACAAGACAGCGGACAGACAACGGGTGATCAGAAAAGCTCACTTGAGCTTTCAGCTAAATTTAATCATTAATTTAATGAGTTTTTCACCTTTTTTTCAGCTGAATTGGTTTATTCAATCAGTTTAACAGGTTTGGAGTTATTGTTCAAAAGGGATTTTTTTCCCAAACTGTATATCATAATCCAAACAAATAAATAATTTTTTTAACAAATAAATTGAGTTTTGCGTGCAACAACATTTTCCTCAGGACTAATAAAATGTCCTTAGAATTACAGTGACTTTGATTTCTTTGCAAACAATTTCCTTTGTGTTTTTCAACTATGAAGAATTTCTTATATTTCAAAAATATCAAATTATATCTATTCACAACAACACCTCCTTCTCTGTTCAGAAAACTGTCAGGTAAAATTACAAAACCTGTAATTGTATATTTAACCAATTAATTAAACAAGTAAAAAATTATTTAAAGAGATATGTGGTTTTATTTTCTTTTATGGGGAAATCTTTCAATTTTTACCTAGAAATTTCATCAATATTCTTCAACAAACTGCAGCATATTAACTTGTACTATCAAACATTAACCTATGAAAAGGCAGACCAATGTTTCAAAATGAGCTTGATCTCTTTTTGCAGAAATCCTTCTAACTACATGAATCAAGATCCTATTTTTGTATCAAGATGTATGACATAACTGATTCTCTATTCATGTAACACAGACATGTATGTGCCTTCAAATTGAACTGAACCCGGGACCTTTGGCATGCCAGTCTAGTGCTCTACCGATTGAGCTAAAGGGTTAATCCCCTAGCCTAGCCTAATAAGAAGCCGAATATTCAACACTACCACAGTATCCCCCTCCACAGGTAGAGATCTCTTTCAGAGTTTATCATTGCTAAAAAGTGCAATGTAAACAATGATTGCTAGAAAAAAAATCTTTGATCACTTTTAACCATTTTCAAAGCTGTTGGGAGTTTGAGAAAAAAAAATATTTTTACGACCTTTCAAATCCTTTTACTCTACAATCCAAGCATGCTCAGCAATTAAAAGTTTGTTTTTATTTTTTAGTTCATAGTACAAATATAAGTAGTCACATACTTGTGACTTTTTATCTTTTTCATAAGAAAAAAAAAACATATTTGTGAAAAACTATGTTGAAATTGATTGATCAAGCTATATTGCTAAATCAATAGCTTGTGCTGGGCCTGTTTGGGTGATTAAAACCTTTCTGGGATATTATGCCCTCACATATTTTTCTCTCAAATGATTGGATGATGCATTCCATACTTACATCCACCATCTGATGACTCTATCAAGTTTTTCATAAACCTGTCTTTAGCTATGTTTGAGTCACTGAAGTAAAATTCCATCTGCAATGTAGAATACATTTGTAAAACTCGCAGTTCTATATGTATTTCAGTATATACACTGGTCATTCATGTTATTCTACTACGATTATTGCAAAGATCAAAGAAATGCTGTGGCCATTATTCTCCAATAAATCACAACTGAAATGTCATCAACAAATTATCAATAATTTTAAATCAGTTTCCTCCAATTCTGACTGTTCTTACTATGAAAGGACTAAGGCCTCTTTTGATTGTGACACAAATTAGTGGGAAAAAACTTTACCTGGGATTCAGATTACTTTGTACTTTTTCTCAGTGGTTGGGAAGGGCCTGCGGGATGTGCCACAGTGGCATTGAAGTGAAAATTGGCGCATTAAATCAATCATTGGTGGTGCCAAGGTGCGCATTCAAATTTTAGCAATGTTAGTTGGAAATATATTGCGTACGACTTTCTTGTTTGTCTTACTTTCGTTTTAAATGCAGTCAATTTAAAACAACAAATCTTATTGGTTAAAACCCGGAAAAAACTGCTTCCTGTTACATGAAGCGCTTTGTTTAGGACAACAAAGGTACACTTCCTCACTCATTTCCAATGTTTAATTGAAATTTTGATGTTATTGACCCAAAATACAAGAAAATTATATTGTTTGCGGGTTCCTTTGAATGTGCTACACTGCAAACATAAAAAATTAAATTTGGTTAATAAAGAAACGTGTTTCCTTCGTATTTCATGTTCAGGGACCAACCTAGACCCAAACTTTAGGGAGACTTCACTTCTCCCTCAGAGAAATGTAGGGAGAAGTTTTGAATTCTAGGGAGACTTCTTGGCGCGCGTGGGAAACACTATGATCATTATTAAACTTTTTAAAAATAAAAAAATTTCATTGTTTATTACTTAAATACATTTCAATAAATTTTTTCTGTATTATTTAAAGATCCTAGTAAAAATAATTAAAAATATTCTTTAAAAAAAAATTATATTTTTCCTATTAAAAAGGTATCTAAATATCTAGCAAAATATATAAAACAATAACAATGTAAAAGTTTCTAATTGATAAACTTGTTTATCAAACTTTTTATAAATATCTAGCAAACATATAAAACAATGACAATGTAAAAGTTTCTAATTGATAAACTTGTTTATCAAACTTTTTTTCATTTCTTGCATAATAGTATGCACAATTAACTTTTAAATGATTCAAACGTTTTTCTCTCCTCTCAGGGTTAGATTTTCAGGCTCTTGGTATAGTCATAATTTTTTTATTTTCTCTTCAAAATTTGTTTTCAATATTAAATTCTTTCTCTAAAAAAACGTTTTGGTGCAACTACTGCATGCTGTTTGAACTAGTTATGTTTATCAGACATGTGTAATTTCTTAGACAGTTGATAACTCCACAATTTAACAGTAAAAATATGTCTGTATTCACAGCATGTATTAATTATTTGACAATAAAAAGATCTAAAATCATCTTCAACATCTTTGGCATGACATCGATAGCTGTCCAGCTGTTTTGCGTCTTGTTGTGTATAACTTATAACAATGGACTTTTTCATACACGGAAGCGTAAAATCTAGAGGAGTTCCGACAGAGTATTCGATGCGTTGGTCATTAGTAGCAAAACAGGTGTAAGTGCCCTGCTGTTTCACTTATTTCAGCAGTAATAACACCAGATTTATAAAATAGTGATGATACTACCACGTTTCTTAATAGATTTTTTATGATTTTCAATAAAGGAGGTGCAAATATTAAGGCGACTTAAACTTCTCTTTCGTGATAATTTACGGCGAAGTTTGGGGCTCAAAAGCGACTATTTCGCCTCAGTCGCCCCCTAGGTTGGCCCTTGATGTTTGTCATTTTGTTTTTTCTTAAAATGGCCCATCAGAATATATAGATGGCTCATTCACTTTCAAAATGGCCCATTAAAAACTTTGACAGTTGCGCCATAGTCCCATTGACCTTTATGGCCTTCCCAATCACTGGTTTCTAATGTGTGAAGTGCAAATAAATGAGAAGTAGCATTCAATTGTGACAACTGACATTCAATTGGGACTTTTGTTGATGTTGACATCTACTTTTCCATTTCTCTATATAGGAGTTTAAAACATTCGCCGTAGCAAAATAGAAATAATTCCCTTGTCCTCGGAATTGTTGGAGAATATACCCCTCAGTCTTGAGAGGTTGTTTGCCAATAAAAACCTTGCCCTTTGGGATAAGTTTTTACTTGCCAACAAAATCTCAACTATTGGGGCATATTCTCCACAATTCCTCCCATACAGAAATTATTTCTTAAATAAATCATCAGTATTCAGATGGAATTATGCCTTACACAAGCTGACCAATATAAACGGAAATAGAAAAGAAAAATTAAAATATGCTCTTCAATTATTGTGAGTAGAGTTCATGAATTGATAGAATTTTATGAACTGTCATGCATTTATAACGGTATGAAGTTACACTCAATATTCTGAAAGCTATAATTCAGACATAATTTACTTGTTCTCTGATTTTTGCTTGGATGGCCTTCATTCGTTTCCTTTTGGACGTGCCAACCCTTTTCTGTTTTTCTTGGTTATCCATGTTCTCAGTTCTGACTTCTGTACTAACAGTGCATTCTTATTTTCCCTCTGAACAAATTGAAAGTAGATCTCACTAACTATAAACAGTTTTGATTGGATAGTATGAGAAGAACCAATAAAAATCATCGACACAATAATAAATTCATTTCGGATATCCTCGGCAGCCATCACAGATTGTTGTGGTACACTTTCCATGCTCAATTTGCAGAAATCAGTTTCTGAACATTCCCTTGTAAAGAAGTAGGAAAGAGTATGGAATCCGTTTGTTCACCAGTAAGCCTAGTATGAGAACGTAGTTTATTTTTTTGGTAAGGAAATGTCAGATCCAGATCCGTATCCGAAAGTTGTGTACCCTGGAGAGATTGGTCCTGGGGCGGGGTATGGCAGTGAAAAATTTCAACTGCTGCTGTCAGCCATAAGTAATTGTGCTGTTCCATTGGTTCATCAACTGATTCAGCAGGAACCAGGCCTTGTACGTGAAAAGGGTACGTTAAACATTGTTACAAACTGTAGATACTATACATGGATACATTGAAGTTCTCAGGTAAAAGGTATATATGATATTGGTTAAGTCATTTTTAAAGTACTTGCAAAAATGCATCCATAACAATGTAGATTAGAATTATTAATGATAAAGAAATTGCTGAGGGTAAGTAATTATTGTATAACATAACATTTTAATGGAACAGTGGTGTTTGACTGCATCACTACATGTAAAAGATATAGATCTAATCATATTTACTGTATTTCCTGTTGTAAGGATGCAGTTCAAATTATTTTTGTTTGTTTTTTAGCTCTACTGGTCAGAGACCAGAAGAGCTTATGCGATAGTAAGGTGTCCGTCGTCTGTCCGTCTGTCTGTCTGTCTGTCTGTCCGTCTGTCTGTAAACAATTTTTCAAAACGCTACTCCTCCTACAGTTTTGGTCCGATTTCAATATAACTTGGCACACAAGTAGACTACACTAAGATACATAATTTAGTGCATCGGTTTTTGATTTCGATGGACGGTGTTGCCATGGTTACTAAAAATAGAAATTTCTGTGAAATTTCTTTAAAACGCTACTCCTCCTACAGTTTTGGTCCGATTTCAATATAACTTGGCACACAAGTAGACTACACTAAGATACATAATTTAATGCATCGGTTTTTTATTTCGATGGACGGTGTTGCCATGGTTACTAAAAATAGAAATTTCTGTGAAATTCCTTTAAAACGCTACTCCTCCTACAGTTTTGGTCCGATTTCAATATAACTTGGCACACAAGTAGACTACACTAAGATACATAATTTAGTGCATTGGTTTTTGATTTCGATGGACGGTGTTGCCATGGTTACTAAAAATAGAAATTTCTGTGAAATTCCTTTAAAACACTACTCCTGCTACAGTTTTAGTCTGCTTCTAATATAATTAGGCATACAAGAAGACTATACTAAGATACATAATTTATTGCATTGGTTTTTGAATTCGATGAACAGTGTTGCCATGGTTACTTAAAATAGAAATTTCTGTGAAATTCCTTTAAAACGCTACTCCTCCTACAATTTTGGTCTGATTTAATCTAATTTGGCACACAGTTAGAATACACTACGATACATAATATGTATTTCTGTTTTTTTTTATTTGGGTGAGTGGTGTTGTCATGGTTACCAGTACTAAAAATAGAAATTTCCGTGAAATACTTTCAAAACGCTACTACTCCTAGTTTTCATTTGATTTCAATATAACTTGTCACAAAAGTAGACTACATTAAGATACATAATTCTATTTATTGTTGCATGTTGCAATGTTTCAAATCCAAGTGCTACTTTTCTTTTGTTATACAAACAGACCAGTAGAGCTACAGTCTCATCAGAGACTTCTGGTTGATTCTGATAAATTATTGGGCATTGGCAGCCTCCCCTTGCTCCAATGCCCTTTGGTGCGTGCAACAAATAACAGGTGGAATTAACAAAATAATATTGATCAGTACATATTGGTTACACCTGTAAGTATGTGATATTAAAGATGTTTCCACCTGTGATCTTGATAAAGAATTAAAATTTCTCATTGGCTATCAATGTAATTAAGTAGATATGTTGAATAATGAAGAAATGTAGGACCTTTCAGATCAAATTAGTATTTATACTTCATCATTCATGGGTATTAATCTATATGCATACTTAATTGTTGTAAGTACTATCTCATGACTTGCATTAATTGTAGACATTTAAGCTATATAAACCAAACTTTCTTGTTGAAAGTCAATAACTAATCATTCAAATTACTAAAGCTCTTAAAATGTGGTATCAGAATCTATAGATTAATTTTCTATTCATTTGATATTTACTTATTTATTTTGAGCTTACTACTATCATCATTAAAACAACATGTATTTAAAACTGTTTATATCACTAGAATACATTGTGGAGAATTGCCTGTCTGATTGTAATTTGTTTTGATGCATGGTTTCAACCATAATCTCTTTGGAGACTTCATAAGCATAATGGCATATCAGATTAGAAAGGAAAATTATAGTCCACACATTTAAGTAGTTTTGTCTTAAGGTACATGTATGTACATTGGTATAGTGTATCCCTATATCAGCTTAAGATGCTTAAACTTGTCTTACGGGTGTGTTCTTGGTTTTATAAAATCTCAATATCATGCAGTCTCCTTGCCTACCATCAGCTAAACTGTCAGTATTGATCTAATCACTCTCACGCAAAGGCAGCATTATGCAAGGATAACAGAACAGGGAACTCGTAGGAAGATGAGAGAAATTAATGCTATCATGAAATACATTTAGAAATGCTGCTCTTTTTAAAAAGAAAAAATGATAACATGCAGTAACAATTCCAGTGTTTTCCCCTTTATTTCAAAGTAGAGGCTTTGGGTTGAAGTTTATGACAAATCTCTGTGGACTTCTCAACAATTAAATTTTGATATTTTTAATTTCATAACGGCATTTTTATCAACTGAATTGGTCAATTTGGCTGGTAGCCAGTTCTTAGGGAAAACGCTGAATTCACAAAAAAATGCATTTCAAGGTTTGGGCAAAGTAACACTGGGTATAGGCATTTTGTGATAAATTATTCTCTTTACTGGTAGTTAATCTACTATTGTAACTTTACTTACATAACATTTTAGCTGTGGAAATATGTTGGATGTTGTATAATATGCTTGGGGAGAGATGGGGTTGAGTGGGAGGGTAGCAATTTTATTCAAAGGGAATTTTTACCTGTATGTACACATATAAACCACAGAATTACATTGAACTCCTGGCCAGATAACAATTTTTGTTGAGAAGTAAAAGCAGTGTCTTTTAATACACTTGATAATTAACTTTCTACAAAAACTCTTACTTTTGATATTTAGTCTTAAACATCAGTAAGTTGGGATATTCTTTGAACATTTATCAATATGATTGCCTGTATATAAAATGTTGAGGACATTTTCAGGTTGGCATGGTCAGACAGCACTACACAAGGCGTGCCTGTGTGGGGACTGGTCAGTTACTTATCTGTTATTGGAGGGAGGATCTGACCCCAATGCCAAGAATGAATTTGATGAGACCCCTGTCCATTATGCCTGTAAAAGGGGCCTGGCTCAGATCGTTCACCTCATTGTACAAAGGGGAGGTAACCTAGGCGCTGTGGACAAAAATGGAAAGACGGCAGCTCACCATGCCGCCCAGACGGGGAGCGTGTGAGAATTATTCTGATATGTTATGATATTTATGTATAATTCCAAGTAATATGAAATGATGCCAGAAAATATGGTTACCCTAGAATTCAGCTTCTTATTGGTCTGGCTAGATAAAAGCAATTTTTGCAAGTTAGAAGCAGATATTATGATCTTGATTTTAGATTTAAAAAAAAAGACCCAAAGTGGGTATTATTTGATTTTTTGTGTATTAGGAGTGATTATAAAATGTTTTTTCACAGTTTACTTGTACATGTATTTTATTTGTGAATATATTAAAGATTTTTACTTTGAAAACCTGTTTTGGAAATGCACATGTACTGTAATGCTTTATTAGCCTCATGGTTTGGCATTTCAGATATGTAATGAAGTTTCTTGAAATGAATGGAGTAAACTTCAATGCAGTGGACAAAAACCTTCAGACACCATTACATATATGTTGTGTACATGGTCATGTTGATGCCTTTAAATTTCTTGTCAAAGCAGAGGTACTAAAAATATAAAAAAAAAAAAAAAAGTAACATGGTATGTAGATAGTTTGCAACATGGCATTGTCTTTTAATTTCAACACCCATGCTTGTTCAAGGATTTCTAATTGTAATGTTATGTAATGTTATAGTACAAATATAAAATGCTTTAAATTATAAGGCACATATCTAAATAATCAGAATGAGAATTTCATAAAATGGGGAAAAACCCCCCATTATTTTCTCATTGACATGTACATGAATCTTATAAATGGGTAATAAGATTTTAAAAAGCAGCAAAAATCCCTGCAGAAAAAAATATACACATTTTAAGGTAGTAAAGTGTATTATGAGTGCACAAATGTATTGTATCAAATGATGATATGAATAGCTTCTGTAAAATTGTTATTTTTTTCTGTAGAGAACAAACCTGACTCAGGTAGATGGAGATGGAAACACAGTCCTCCATATTGTGGCTCGAGAGGGACACCCATACCTATGTTGGGAACTCCTAGTGGTAATGGGGTGTGGTCCTCTGCATTTAACCAACCGTGAAGGATTCACTCCAGTGGAGTTGGCAGCACAAAGAAATAAATATGGGTAAGTTCTGTACACATCTCTCATAATAGCAAGGATTGCTCATTATATTAGAATTGTATTTTGATTAACTACTTAACACCTTGAAATAGTTATATTGACCATTATACAGTTGACTTTTGATGACTCAAACTTTGATCTTCTCCAGTATGCACTCTTGATTTCTCCAACTCTCAATCTTTTGAAACCTTTGATCTCTCGAAGTCAAATGCAGTCCCATAATGCATATTATATTGTATTATCCTCAACATCTAGAAGTGGCTATGTGTAAATAAACTTGACCTAATTAGCATCTTTACAAAGAAATGGCTTCTGGCGCAGATATGTGACAAATGTACTAGGATGTTTATACAAGTTTCACTGCACGGGAACTACAAGACGACAATACTTATCAACTAATTATCAATTACGCGTAAAATAATTAATATCTAATGAACAAAGATAATTTGGAAAACAGTGAAAGTTAAAAATGAATATCATGAAATACAATGCACATTTTTTTTTTTTTTACTTATTTATAATGAATTCTGTATAATTATTTACATAAAAATGCAAAACACATTTATTTCAATTCATTTATATCCAAATCTGTATACTGTATATGGGGTTATTTTTGTCCTGTCTTATTTTCGCCCTTTCAAACTTGCAACTAATTTTGCCCCATTTTAAATTCGCCTAATCACAGTTCTGTTTAAGGAATTAAAGTGTGTTTTTTGAATTCGCCCCATTTTAAGTTTGCCCACCTGTGATTAGGGCGAAAGGGGCAAAAATTAAATGGGGGCAAACATTTCCCTGTACGCAGTATTTACATAAAAATGCAAAGGAATGGTATTGATAAAGTACACATGTATAATTTTCACACTTTTGCACAAGAGAACAAATTACTTTCTATTATACTAATTTTAAAACCAATCAAGTAACCCAGAAATTTCTGCAATTGTGAAATGATCTTTCTCTGATTTTCCATGGCAGACTTTGAAGGATTGAGAGTCACCTGTATTTCCTGTACAATAATTGATGTCCATCTTATGTTTTTTCAGACATAAAGAAATCACACCATTAATGCAATGGCTCGCCAAAAAGGACAAGAACTACGTTCCGCGGGGACCAGTTTTAACCTGGTGGTGGCTACTGTTTATGCCCGCTGTATTGTTTGCTGTAATTGCCCTTTCTGCCCACTATTTACTCCCTGATCACCAGGGGATGGTGTACTTTGCTGGAATGATCTGTCTTATTTTAAGCCTTTTGAGACATAACCATAGAATTTATCACATCTCTAGGTAAAATCTTTCCCTCCAATAACATATTCTGTTGATGATTTTGTACATTTATATAGTGTGCATACATAATTAATTTTTTGATAATGTAGTATACAGTCAAACCTGTATTAAGCAGTCACCTGTGGGAACCATTAAAAGTGACCTTTATAGAGAGGTGACCTTTGAAAAGAGGTTAACCTTTTTCAAGAAAAATTCTTTTCCAATTTATGTTAGTTCTGTGTTTGAAAATACTACACCACAGAATATTCAAGAAAGATGTGTTTTGGACATCAAAGGTCTCAGTTAGGTTTTTTTTTTTAAATTCAAATAGTCTCAAGATTAAGTTTAAGCTAAATTTGATAACTCCAACAAAAAATATATTGAGTCTAACAGGGCATTGCATTATCTTCCCTCCAAACAATAACAAAACTTTCTTTTATTATAAGATAACATTATCATGTTGTGCCATGAATAAAATATAATGTATTTTTTATCTAAACTGCCTCTAAAAAAACAAGTTTAGTTAGTTCTGATAAATGTATGTTTAATAATACATAAATAGTAGCGTAATAAACATGCAGACAAGTCATATAAATATTCTCAGTTTATCAAAGCAGTGCATAATACAAATTGATATCAAATTCACAGGTGTTGTGAGCAATGAAGCGTGACTAATCCTAACGGTCGTAATACTTAGTTGAAAATCACGAGATAATCAGGACACATTGAGTATACAAAACAGTTAATTAGGGTTTCTACAAATAATATGTTTCCTATGTGTTAAAACGGCCTGCCATGCGTTTACACAATTACAAGTATCGGAGTTGGGCATGCAAAAACGTGAACTAATAATTAGGAAACATTATTATTGTATACATTAATACATGTAGATGAATAAGGATGCCACTCATATATCTTGATATCACTCAGAATTTTTTAAACCAGATTCCAATTCAATAAGATTAACATTCTTGTATGCATGGTATATAAGTCCATTTTCCTGATAACCTTTTTGGTCACTAGCACCCTTGTACAATTTTGTTAAAAAAACAAGTAGAATATCCAATATTTTAAATTATTTTTAATAAGGCCAATTATTTTTTCCATGATCTCGCTACACAAGACCAATTATTTACATTAGTGACAAAAATTTGGAGTCACCTGACTTTAGATCTGGTCACGTGATCGGACAAAATGGCCGCTATATACGAGGTAAAACGGCGATTTTACATGAAATTTGATGACTGCTGACCGCGTTACGCAGGTGATCGCTAAATAGAATTACATTATATAGGAAAACTCATTGGGAGGAAATAAAATGACCGCATACAACAGGTGACCGCTGGATAAAGGTGACCGCTATGACAAGTTTGACTGTAATTATGAAAGATCATCATCAAGCATACCTGAGATTTTGCTTGGGTTGCATTTGCATAAAATATGCAACATATGTAGAAATTTAGCAGACCCTAAACATTATTAATTGGTTCTATCTCTGCATATAATGCCCTTCTCTTTACATATGACATTTTTACAATGAATGTTTGCCATTTCATTGTGTGTGACTTGTTTTCTTCCCATCTGAAATCTTTTTTTTTAACACCTCAGATGGCCAGATCCAGTGTTTGCAGGGACTTTCTTTGCTGGTGTGTTACATACTGCTATACTGCAGCTATTTTACCTATTGCCAAGTATCCTTTTGTTAGAAATTCCTATATAGGTTCCTAAACATTTTGTGGTAGTTCATTTAATAAGATGTTGAATTTTCGTATTCTTATCATATGGCTTTATATACCAAGTCCTTATTTTATTTCCACACATGCATTACTATTTTACTGACTTTTGTACAATTTTTATACTATTGCACTAACTTAACTGTACAAAGATTGTAATGAGTACCCAACCTTCAATGTAGTAGCGACATTATTGGGGATTGTGTTGATTTATATGTACGTCAAGGTGCTCAGGAGTGATCCAGGTACATACTACAATGTTTCTGCTGCTGAACAAAATTATTAATGAACAAGTTAAAAAGTAATTGATTTCATCATATTTTGACTATATTGTTAGTTTTTTCATATAAAACATGCATGTACTAATTATAGAATATGGAGAAGATAATAACGTTTTCACACCCAAACTTTATCTGTACCATATTTTTGTACCAAGAATCCAATGTAGCCGGCATTATTAACAGGGATGTTGGAATTACTTCAATTGAACCTAAAAGGTTCAGTGAAAGAAAACAGACAACTTGCTGGTTAAAAAAATCATATTCAATAACAAAACATAGAAATCCTTTGTATATACATGTAATATTATACACAGTATAAAATATTATTGATCATATACAGTAACTATAAATGTATTATATTAAGTGTGTACGATATTTAGGGGAAATTGATTTTACAACAAGATAGCAAAGCGCTTTCTGAATGCTAGATAAAAATATACTTATACAAGAAATTTAGCAACATACTTGAATTAGTGGAAGCTGCTTTCTGTGAAAAATGTTAAATAGAATACACTGCCAAATGTACTGTGTTTACAGTGATGTCATATACCTGATACAAAGTAAATGTTTCTTCTGTTATGAAGGAGCTGCAAAGGAATCAGTTCGGGATCAAGAGTCTGGTAGACCTATGACACTGATGGACCTGTGTGTGCCTCAGAGAAAGACCGACCAGTTCTGTACCAGCTGTGAGGTAAGGTACACAAGACTGGAATACAGAGTGCCCAGTCAGTAAGGTATACTTTAGCTGGGAACAATGTGCTGTTTAATACACCTCAAGATCCATCACTGTTACATAAGAAAGAAGTGCTGGTGAAATGTCTTGCCAAACATTCGTTGAACTATACTTATTGCTAACAAAACTTGAGAGGAGCTAGTCTTCTTGTGCTACATTTTTATCGATACTTTTTGTAACTCTTAAGTAAACTCTTCTACCAGTAATTAAATTCAACCATTTCTTTCTGATAGTCATTGCTTTGTAGTCAATAAAATACTCTATCTATTCCAAAATTGACGGCAAAATATCTGGAGTGCAACCCTTGGCAACACACTTTACTTCTGGCATACTAATTATTTGAATCATCTTATTGACACCAGTGTAAACAGTGTTACATGTATGTATATTCAAGAAAATCTCACAAGATTTAGAGCTTCCTTGATTTTTTTTTTGCAAAAGAGTGGCAGTAAGGTAGATAACCATGAGGTGATATTAAGTATCGAAATAAAATATATCAGGAACTTCAACATGGCTAGAAATTCTTAACATTCTGTATTGAGTTTTCCAAGCTTAAAAAATAATAAGAATTGCTGTTGATATTGGATTGTATACTACATCTCTATTCAAAGACAGAAAATGGTGATATTTTCCAGATTGTGAGAGCACCCAGAACAAAGCACTGTCGCCTCTGTGAGAGATGTTATGAAAACATGGACCATCACTGCCTTTTCCTCCTCACATGTGTGGCTAAAAAGAACCATTCTTTGTTCTGTTGGTTCATTATCAGCTGTATGGTTTCCATGACACTGTTCCTGGTGCATTGTGCCTTTTACACTTATAGAACTTACTCCGGTCAGACGTGGAGTCACATGTTCTACTCCATGTTCTGGTCAGAGTGCTGGGTGCTGAGTTTGATAGCCATGAATGCTGTATCCATAATCTGGGGCGTTAATCTTCTGAGGTTTCAGTTAACACTGGTGTCTAAAGGAGTGACCACTGTATTTATGAGAAAGACCAAGTCGGCACTGACCAATCAGGAGAGACTGATTAATATTTTGTACTTTTTGATGGGGAGGCAGCCTTTTGCTGAGGATCCCTTGATCTGCTCACAAAACATGCAGAGTGTTTAAGTGTCTTTCCCTCTATGATCTGTTGTAGACTTTTATGATGGGTAAATTATGTTTTTTACAAGATATTTTTACTGAATCTATTCCAAACCATAATTTTGTAGTCAGTACTGTTTATTATAACCACTATATTTGTATGTATTTAATGTAATTTGATGTTGAACTAAAATTCTTTGTTAATCTGTATCTGTTTTTTAACACCAGTACAGTATTATAAGATGAATTCTGTAAAAAAAAAAGTGATATGATCACAAAATCTAAATGCTTGTAAAGCACTCTACATGATAATAGCATATACCTGCCCCAATAACAGTCAGAAATACTTTGTGTGAAAGAAATAACTATGTTTACAAAATACATGTAGTTTTTGATTCAGAAAAATACAAGTAACTGATTATTTATGTTGCCATAATGACTATGGACAAATCCAGGTATTTTTAAAACAGCAGATGCGATGCACAACTCCTTTGACATTAGATGTTATAGAGCCCAGACTTGCTCAGACTTCAGTCTCGCATGTTTTATTTTTACTTTATCATTCTGCGCATTAAGCTAGGAGAAGGAGTTAGGGCAGACCTGCATTTCATGTTTCTCAATCAAAAACATTATGAAAGATACTTTTTTCCTGAAGTCATTGAATTTGAAATTTACGTAATTTTTCAACACCATAGCTACAACAGCTGAACTTCAATACCGGTATCTTGAACTTCATTTGAATACATGTAAGCACAAAAGTATGTTGAAGTGAGTTGCAAGTCCCAGGCACTTTTTCTTTCTGTATTTTTACTTCAGAATCTTGAATCCTTGGATATCTTGAAAAAATTTTCAGCCCCATTAAGTTCAAGATAACAAGATTGTACTTTAATTACATCATTTTTGATGCAAATTTTTGAAATATTGTACTGGTTCAAATAACAATTAAAGCTTTCTTTTGCAAAGTTTAACTTTGGAAGCAGATAATGTTCTTTTTTTATGCAAAAGCAAACCTGAAATATTATATGTACATGACTGTATGTCATATTTTTACACTGGTGTATAAAACATGGAGAAACCCCTGAATTTTTTGCTTTACCATCACTAGGTGTCGAATTTCTGATGAAATTGTTTTCCATTTTTGACATTAGATTGTTGTTCTTGCCAGGAATTGTTACATTTAGGTATCAACAGTTTTAATGCAAACTAATCTGATACCTTGGTATTACACTGTCATGTATGAAAATTTGAAATCCAATTGTATTTTCCATTGAAATTTTAGATTGTATAAACAGATACATATACACGTAATTGTTGAAAACCATATACAAATGTAAAAGTATAACTTCTTTGTGTACGTTTTCTTCTTATCAACATTGAATTCTAGCTAAATTGAATACATATATATGGTTTTTTTGCTCCATCCTTGAGGTCTATTTTCTAACTAGGCTTTGTCTTAAATGGAGGACAAAATGACCACTTGAGATCTGAAATCATCATAGTTAACAGGCATTTACAGTGTTTTCTTTTTATTTTAATTCCAGACCACAATTTTAACAATCTGGATATACATGAGCTATGGCTCAGATGAGCTAAAATGTGAGAAATATACAGACAGCTAATATAAACTTCCATCGGCATAGCTCAGTTAGCCGTTGCCTTAGAGTTTTGGGGTTTTTTTTAAGCTAAAGATAACAGATTGTAGATCGGGAGCTTCAGTCCATGTAAACTGATACTGAATCAGTTTGAAGAGCTTTTTATTGAATGTATCTGGTAAATTTAGAGGAACCTTGGGATGACATTGAAGAGTTAAATTTCTCTGTATCCTTTGACAACTCAAAAATTTTATTTGGTATATGTAAGAACAAACAAATTATATAAAGTACAAAATTTAATCATTCCGATAATCAAGAATTATAAAGTGTCTAGTACATAAAACTGCATCTTCACAATGTCAAGGTTTTGTGATATCGGTCCTCTTCACAAACCCTTGACAAAAGTCGCTATGCAACTATAAACCAATTAATGAGAATATCTCTTTCAAATGTGTTGTTATCAAGTGGCTAAAAAAAAAAACCCAACATAGCGCCTCTTTTGTGATTGTAAGGAGAAGGATCTTCCAAAAATTAATTTGAAGTAACTAGTCACAAATCCTACAATACTGGCACTTTCCATTTTAAAGACAAGTCATATTTGTTTACAAAACTTGCCTACTATAAAGGCTGATTTCTTACTGGTTTCCATTCCTTGACGGGAACAAATGAAATGGTAGCTTAAATGATAGATTAAAAATTGTTCAAATCACCTTAGGGCAAAGAGCGTGGTCTCAAGGTCACTTCAAAGTTGACCAAAAATTATGTTTTGATAAAACTTTGATATTTTGCCCACTATAAGGGCTAGGATCATCAAATCTTGCTGGTTGATGCATTTTAGGATTTCATATCATGTTGACTCGAAAGTATGTCACAATTACATACCTACTTTTTAGGTCACCTGAGTCACTCAGGTGACCTATTGCTATCCGTTTTCGTCCGTCGTAGTCCATCGTGCATTAACTTTTGAACATTTTCAACTTCTCCTCCAAAACGGCTTAACCAATTTTTACATAAAGCATCTATGAGTGAAGGAGAACAAAAATTGTGAATTTCATGGTCCCTGCCCCCCTGGGGCCCGAGGGGTGGGCTAAAACCGCCAAAATTGATGCAATCTTTAAAAATCTTCTTATTTACTCCTGGACACCAAGCAGTCAAACTGTTGACATGATTGTAATAAGCATGGGGCCCTCTACCAAAATTATGAAATTCATGGCCCCAGGGTTAAGGGTTCTGGTGCTACTTTGGGGCTATATAGATCATATAGTGAAAATGCATTATTTCTTTGAAAATCTTCTTCTCTTCTCCAGGGTATTATTTAAACAAAATAAGTGCATGGTTATGATAAGCAATGATGCCTTTTCCTGAATTTTGAATTTCATGCCCCCTGGGTCAGGGGTTCTGGTGTTAGGGCGGGGCTCTATTGATTATATGGTGAAAATGTATTAATTCTTTGAAAATCTTCTTCTCTGCTCCTGGGTATTATTTAAACAAATTAAGTGCATGGTTATGATAAGCAATGATGCCTTTTCCTAAATTGTGAATTTCATGGCCCCTGGGTCAGGGGTTCTGGTGTTAGGGCGGGGCTCTATTGATTATATAGTGAAAATGCGTTAATTCTTTGAAAATCTTCTTCTTTGCTCCTGGGTATTATTTAAACAAACTAAGTGCATGGTTATGATGCCCTTTCTAAAATTGTGAATTTCATGGCCCCTGGGTCAGGGGATCTGGTGTCAGGGTGGAGCTATATTGATTATATAGTGAAAATGCATTAATTCTTTGAAAATCTTCTTTTCTGCTCCTGGGTATTATTAAAGCAAATTAAGTGCATGGTTATGATAATCAATGATGCCTTTTCTAAAATTCTGAATTTCATGGCCCCTGGGTCAGGGGTTCTGGTGTTAGGGCGGGGCTCTATTGATTATATAGTGAAAATGTATTAATTCTTTGAAAATCTTCTTCTCTGCTTCTGGGTATTATTAAAACAAACTAAGTGTATGGTTATGATAATCAATGATGCCTTTTACAAAATTATGAAATTCCTGACCCCTGGGTCAGGGGCTGTGTTGTTAGGATTGGGCTCTATTGATTATATAGTGAAAATGTATTAATTCTTTGAAAATCTTTTTCTCTACTACTGGGTGTTATTTAAACAAACTAAGTGCATGGTTATGATGCACAAGGATGGTTCTTACAAAATTCTGATTTTCATGGCCCTGAGTCAGGGGTTCTGGTGTTAGGGCGGGGCTCTATTGATTATGTAGTGAAAATGTATTAATTCTTTGAAAATCTTCTTCTCTGCTACTGGGTATTATTTAAACAAAATAAGTGCATGGTTATGATGCACGAGGATGCCTTTTACAAGATTGTGAATTTCATGGTCCCTTGGTCAGGGGCTGTGGTGTTAGGAGGGGCCTCTATTGATTATATAGTGAAAATGCGTTAATTCTTTGAAAATCTTCTTATTTGTGAATTGCATGACCCTGGGACATGGGTTTTAGTGTTAGGATAGGGCTGTGTTGATTCTGTAGTGAAAATGCATTATTTCTTTGAAAATCTTCTCTGCTCCTTGGCAAATCGAAGGCAAACAGAATAAAAGTTTTGATAAGCAAGGATATTTTTACCAGATTTTTGAACATCAGCACCATTTTGTCAAGTGTTCTGGTCCTGGCCAGCGCTCTATTAATTTGTATTCTATTGAGAGAAGTTATTCCCCTTTGCCATTCACTTTTGATAATTTTAAATCATTGTAAATAATGTACATGTATTTGAAAGTCAATAGACTAAGAGAATTATGCAAAAAATGTTATTGTATAATACAAAAAGAACTTTCATAGTTTTAATGATCAGGTAGACTTGTAAATAATAAATAAATCAAAATGAGACAAAAATAACTTATTAAATGTTCTTCAAAGACCAAGAGAGGCCAATGTGAGAGGTCACAATCTGGGGTTAAAAGTAGTATGGAAGAACTAATACTAGTTTGTTAATTGTCTGCATTGTGATAGTGATAAATGGGGGAGAGATTAAAATTTAATTTATGAGTTGTTACTGAATACTAGACTAATTATTTCATTGATCCTGATCATCCTATTTCTCTTGCTTCTGGGCAACAAAGCTTCATCTATCAGTTTATTTTATACTTTATGGATACTCTAAATTGTTGTATTATACTCAGAAGACCGTTAAGGCCCTTGGGCCTCTTGTTGAATTTTGCAGCTATTCATTTTCAATTTTGATTTTGATGCATATCTTGGACACTTTGAATCCTATGATCATCAAAACTTGTCATTTATGAATCATGGGGCCTTGAAGTTTGTAAACCAAAAAGTAGGTCACTGTGACCTACTTTCTGGATTTCATGACTTATCATTTTCAAAACATTTAAGGTCAGTATTTCGGATATTGAGAGGTTTAGAATCATCAAACATTGTAAGTTGATGCATCTTGGGGCCTTAAAACATGTTTATCAAAAAGTAGGTCACACTGACCTACTTTTTGATTTTTGCAGGTGTTTTAGAGGCATAATTTGGACACTTTGAAGCCTGTGTTCATCAAACCTTGTTTATTAATGCATCCTGAGGCCACAAAGTATTTCAACGAAAGAGTAGGTCATGATGACCTACTCTTTGAAATTTTTGGCTATATTTAAATATTTCAGATGCTAATTGGCTTAGAATCATCAAACTTTGTCAGTTAATGCATCTTGGATCCTCAGAGTGTGACCAAAACATAGGTCAATATGACCTACTTTTAGAATATAGATGCAATATCTGAATATTTCAAATAATAAGAGGCTTGGAGTCATCAAACATTGTCAGTTGATGGATCTTTGGATCTCGGAATATAATAATCAAAAAGTAGGCTAGTGACCTACTTCTGAAATTTCATAGCTATATCTAAATATTTCAGATAATAAGGGGGTTAGAATCATCAAACTTAGTCAGTTTATGCATCTTGGGACTTTATAGTAGTTCAATCAAAAACTAAGTCACAGTGACCTACTTTTGGAATTTCATGGCTATACTTAGATATTTCAGATACTATTTGGCTTAGAATCATCAAATTTTGTGAGTTGATGCATCTTGGGTCCTCAGAATATGTCAACTAAAAGTAGGTCACAGTGTCCTACTTCAGGAGCAATATCTAAATATTTGAAATATTTAGAAGCTTAGAATCATTAAACTTTGTCAGTTGATGCATCTTGGGGTCTCGGGAGTATGTTAACTAAAAAGTAGGTCACTTTGATCTGCTTTTGGGTGTATCTGAATATTTAAGATAATAAGGGTCTTGGATCATCAACCTTTGTCAGTTGATGCATCTTAGGTTCTCAAAGTGTGTTAATCAAAATGTAGGTCATGATGACCTACTTTTGGAATGTTAAGGCTTTATTTAAATATTTAGGATACTAGAGGCTTAAAATAGAAGTAATGGGTTGTACAATTTATCTGAAGAGCAATTCTAGGCCCTTGGTCCTCTTGTTTATGATTTTTTTTTTAATCAGATCAAAATTGTTGTGTAATATGAATTCCAAACTTGATTCTCTTATAAGTAACCATTTCTTCAAAAATTAAAAACGCCAGAAAGATATTGTGTATCTTGGTATAGTATACCTGTATTTGACCTGTTACTAAAATTGAACTATGTCACAGTCAGGCTACTTACATAATAACGTTTATTGAAATCAAACTAAAAACTGTAGGAGCGTTTTGTAGAATTTCACAGAAAATCGTATTTTCAGTAACCATGCTTTGCAACACAATTCCTTAAAATCGAAATCTAATAGCTTAGGGTAGTGTTTTTAAGGAATAACTGTCTTTTTTTTTTAATCACACAAGCCAATTGCTTGATCATCATCGTGAAACCAAAAAATATGACAGTTACATGCTCTTGATTCCGTAAATCACACACTGCAAGCCC